GGTATATCTGCAACCACTCTATTTCTAAATACAGCCACCTTCTGAAGTACTAGGGGTTAGAACTCTAACATACGAACTTTTGAGGTACAAAATTCAACCCAGAAGAGATAGTGATGGAAGCTATGTGAATGGAAGAACACATGAGCATGGGGAGTGAGGAGAGAGCCCAGAGGAACTCCATGACACAAGAAGGAACTAAAAAGAAAAGACTGGAGAGAGAGGAATGGCGTCGCAAAACCAACACTACCATGACCAAAGGAGGTAGTGTCCAGCAGCGTCCACCACAGGAAGCGGGACCAGAAGGCTTTGATGAGAGTGAGTTTGTTGTTGCAATGGACTCTGATGAGAAGGAGCTCATTGGGAGAGGGAGAAGTTGAAGATTCCAGGGAGATAAGAAGTCATTCACTAAAAAGGTCTTGACCCAGTGAGGGAGGAAGTAGTCTGAAGCCTCGGTGGAGGAACTGGCCACTGTGAGAAAACTGGGGATACTCCATTTTACTGGAAAGCTACAACCAGACACTGCATCACTGTACTGGCAAACCATGGCCCTTAAGATGGTACTTTCCCAGGTCTCCTCCCCCCACCACGGCTCAGATGGAGCGACCTCTCAGAGATGGGTGGTCACAGTCACACAAGATACCTTCACTGGAAGCCGACAGTTGAGCATCACTGTCATCAAGTGACATCAAGCTGTCACTTGAGCATCACAAACAGGAAGAGTTCACACAGATACCCTAACAGACATACTACTAACATCCTGTACTGTCACACACAGAGTCAGCCAGTCATGCACTGGCCAAACTCTCTCAAGTACTGTCATACTGGATACACGGCCACACACAACACCCCCTCCCTACGGTGTCACCAGCCCCTCATCCACACAGCTACATACACAGTCACAATCCCACAGGCTAACAGTAAGTTACTTTCTGTCTTGTCACACACATCTGGGTCCCAGCAGGGAGTGGTCCCCCAGTTAAACGTGTTTCTTATATACATCAGCTTCATCATCTGTCTCTCTGCCTCTCTAGTTGTATCTGTCACGCGCGCTCACCCACATACATATGCACACACCACACACTCTCGCCGGGTGTGGGCCAGGGTCTGCCGGGCGGGGCGGGGATCCTGCCCGCGGCGCTGGCGCTCCGGACTCTGCCCGGACCAGGGCGGCGGCCGCAGCCCGGAGGACGACGTGGAGCGGCCACGTGGAGCGGTCCGGGGGAGGGCCAGGCGGCGGCAGCCGAGGCGCGGCGGCGGCGGCGGCGCACAGCCTCCAGCGACGACCCAGACGGACCGGTGCCGCCGCAGGTGGGTGCGAGCCCCGCCCGGTGGGTGGCCTGGGACCCCGCAGCGGGCAGCGGGGCGATGCTGCGCGCCGCGGGGCTGGACCGCGGGCGGGCGCGGCCTCCTGGCTCCGGGTCGGATGCTGAAGGCGCAGTCCCTCCGCATCCCTTGCGGCTCGGGCGCAGTAGGAGCGCCGGCTCCCGCCTCTGGGCGCCTCTCCGAGGTTACCCCTGAGAGCAGGTAGAGGGAGGGCCTGGAAAGGGAAACCTGAGACCTGAGCTCCTTTGCGGTGATGGGGCGGGGTGGGGGGTGGGGAGGGTGAAGTTCATTATCCCCCCCACCCCCCAAGGGCTTTCCCCTTCTGGTCTTATTCATTGCTCTGACAACCTCGGGGGGAGGGGAGGCTGGCAGGAGTTTCGTCCTCATTTGACAGAGGAAGAGAAGGAGGAGCCGAGGGTTATCACCCTGGTGGAAGTGGCAGGGGAGCCCAGCTCTCAGGTGTGGGACTTCGTGGTCTGTATAGCCATTGCCTCTTCTCTTGCGGGGGGCGGGGAGTGGGGGTTGCGCTAGAGTCACAGGCGGCTCTGGAGGGAGGAGTTAAGGGAGAAGATTGAGTTCCAAATAACTTGCGACAGTATTAGCTGGAAATGGAATGGATGCCCTGTGAGGTGCCAGGCTTCTGTCCTGGGAAGTCCAGTGGAGGCTGATGGCCATTGACAGGGGTGCTGTGCAAGTAGTTTTGCACTAGATGGAAAGTCAAGCAATGAAAAGGCTCTCCCACAACCTAGAGTCTCTGAAATACTCACTGGCAATCACTCTACCTATATTTTCCAATGCATCCTCCCCGAGCCCCTTCCAGATAGATATCGTTATCCTCATTTTTGTTGGTTGTTGGTTTTTGGAGGGTTTTTTTTTTTTTTGTATTTTTTAGGCCTCACTATTGGGCATGAGGGGCTTCCCATGTGGCCAGTGGTAAAGAACCTGCCTGGCAATGCAGGAGACGTGAGAGACACCAGTTCCATCTCTGGGTGGGGAAGATCCCCTGGAGGACGGCATGGCAACCCACTCCAGTATTCTTGCCTGGGAAATCCCGTGGACAGAGGAGCCTGGTGGCTACAGTCCATAGAGTCAGGCAGAGTCAACACGACTGAAGTGACTTAGCACACACATGGGGCATGAGGGATATTAGTTCCCCAATGAGGGATCAAATCTGAGTCCCCGGCAACCAAGCCCCCTGCACTGGGAGCACAAGGTCTTAACCACTGGACTGCAAGAGAAGTCCCTATCCTCATTTTTAAAGTGAAGGCCCCACAACACCTGCTGAGATCACACTGTTAGTACTATGACAGACTGGATTTGATCAGAGTTCCAACTACAAGGCCAGGCTCTCCTCCCATGCACTGATGATTGAAGAAATCAAATACTGGAGGGTCACTGTGAGTGTGTGTGTGTGTGTGTGTGTGTGTGTGTGTGTGTGTGTTTGTGATGTAAATAACTTTATTGGATTATATAACAACTCTAATAATTGTGGTGGCTTTTCTGTGGTCATTAGAGTAAATTGTGTTTAAGCACACTGTAGTTATAGAAAATGATTAGGAACATATTTATTTGACAGGCAGTTTTCAATAACTGCTTTATTTCTGTTGCTCACAAGAGTTTCCCGGGTAGTTCAAAAGGTAAAGAATCTGCCCACAATGCAGGAGACCCAGGTTTGATCCCAGAGTCAGGAAGATCCTCTGGAGAAGGACATGGCAAACAGCTCTTCAATAGATAGTTAGAAATGTGAAAGGGTGAAGAAATCACATTACATCAACCTCATTAAATGTTACTTGAGCTGCCTTAGCCTGGTGGTGCTGGTGGTTTAGTCACTCAGTTGTGTCTGACTCTTTGTGACCCCATGGACTGTAGCCCATCAGGCTCCTCTGTTCATGAGATTTCCCAGGCAAGATACTGGAGTGGGTTGCCATTTTTTCAATAGGGAATCTTCCCAATGCAGGGATCAAACCTGGGTCTACCTGCATTACAAGTGTATTCTTTACCTACTGAGTCACCAGGGAAGCATGCCTTAGTCTGGCTTCCTTTAAATCATAGAGGTGAGTTACCCGGACTAAAAATGTCACATTTGGAAGCATGACTTAGGATTGAGAATTTCAAGACAGAGACAGCAGAGCCTTAGTCTAAGCCCAGGGACCTTCTGAGAGCAGAGCCCTGTGTGACTGCCAAGAAGCCAATCTATCATTATGACAACTGACAAATCACCTCAAAGCTTAGTGGCTGAAAACAATAGCATTGACTATGCCTGTGAGTGTACATTCTGGGCAGAACTGTGAAGACAAGCTCAGTTCTGCTCTGGCGGAGTTGGCTGGGATAGCTGGGAGGCTGGGGCTTGGAATCATCTGCAGTTTTGCTCTCTCACCTGCCTGGCCCTTGGGTGGGAAGTGAGCAGCTGGGAGCTGCAGGAATCACAACCAGGACCTCTCAAGCATCCCTATCCTTATGTGCTTCCTCCACGTGGTCTTTTCAGTACAGCAGACTTCTTCCACAGTGGTTCAGGGTGTAGCTGCATGTCAAGAGAGGGAGAGAGAGAGAACCAGAACCAGGCATAAACCCTGTTGCCTTTTATGACTCAGACTTGGAGGTTACGTGGCATCATTTCCACTATTCATTATAAGTGAGTTCCTAAGTCTGGATCATACACAAGGAAAGGGAAATTTGACTTCAGCTATTTCTCACAAGAAAGACTTGGTAGATATGTTTTTCTTTTTTTCCCTTTTCCTTTTTTCTGTATTTTATTTGATTTTTTATTGGGGTATAATGGCTTTGCAATGTTGTGTTAGTTTCTGCCATACAATGAAGTGAATCAGCTATTTGTTGTTTAGTTGCTAAGTTGTGACTGACAGTTTTGCAACCCCATGGACCATATAGCCCACCAGGCTCTACTGTCCATGGGATTTTCCAGGCAAGAATACTGGAGTGGGTTGCCATTTCCTTCTCTAGGGGGTCTTCTCGAGCCGGGGATTGAAACTGCATCTCCTACATGGTCAGGCAGGTTCTTTGCCGCTGTGCCATACATATACATATATCCCCTCCCTCTTGAACCTCCCTTCTACCCCCTCATCCCACCTCTCTAGGTCATCACGGAGCATCGAGCTGAGAGCTCCCTGTGCTAGACAGCAGCTTCCCACTAGCTATCTGTTTTAGCTATGGTAGTATATATATGCCAATGCTACTCTTCCAACTCATCCCACCCTCCCCTTCCCTCACTAAGGGTAGACACGTTTTTCAAACCAGCACCGTTGGCTTAATGAGTGACTGGATTAGGGGGATCTGATGGGTGCTTCTCCTTTATGCCTGAACAGCTCCCACCAGTCATTCTTTGTAGTTTCCAAATGTCCTCTTTTAAAAGGCAACTGCTAGTGGTGATAATGCATTAAGCCTGGATAATAGGTTTTGGCAGCTCTGGGGGATTTAAATTATTCCTGTGCCTCCTGCTGGCCCAGGTCCTGACAGTAAACAGATGGGGAAGAGAAAGCAATTTGAAGATATCCAGGTGGGGAGACCAGAATTGTAGGTATGTGTGAAGCCCCTGCAGAGCAGTCCAGAAAAACTTCTGGAAGGAAAATGCCTTATTGTATAATATCACCAGGTGCTACATTTTAAACATCTTGTCTTATTGAACCTTCACCACACACTGGGAGATGCTCTCAGTCATCCTCATGTTACAGATCAAGGTTCCAAAACACGGAAGTCACACAGTTGGTGAGTTGTAGAGTCTGCATTTGAACTTAGGCCAACCTGAGGTTAAGGCCCATACTGTTAAACTTTGGGCTACATCCCCTATTCCTTAGCAATTCTGTGTTTCTGTTTTTCTCTTAAATTGTCATTTTAACATTTGTATCTTTCCCTATTTACATGAATATGTAAGTGTTATGGAGAAAAAAGAATGAGTAATTTTACCTAATATTATCATCTTACTTACAAGTTAATGCCTACCATATAGTAGGTGCTCAATAAATATAAGAATTGAATAAAACTAGCCCTTATTCTATAAAACTTATATTGACACTTGCCTTCCCTTCAAAGGCTCACCTCCTTGGTCCTTGTCACCAAAGGTCTTGACTTGGGCTGCTGCTTCCCATGGCGTCCTCTGTCGCATCCAGACCAGAGTCTATGCCTACTGTCATTCTCCTTTTGGCCTCTTCTGGCCAGGCTGGCCCTTTCAACCATTTTGTGCCCCTATTTCCACCTTAGAGCCTGGAGCCCTCAGCCTCCTCTCTTCAAATGCGCAGCATACTGGGTACCAAGAATTGGGCGAGGCAGCCCTCCTGTCCACTCACCTAGACCCTCGCTAAGCCATTGCTTCCTAACCACAACCCCCCTGTGGGCAGGGCCTTTCCTCTAATCCTCACCCTCACATAATGCTGCAGTCCTTGGATTTGCACTCAGTCTCCATGGGGTTTCCATGGAGATTGCTGTCTCAAAGCCCCTGCTGGGTGTGGTGGTGAACAGCACCATCCTGAAAACCCTAATAGCTTTGAACCCTGTTCCCTCCAGTCCTTCATCACTTGTCTTCTGAACTTGATTCATGGTCTCTTTCATATTACAGAAGTTCATACTTTTAATATTCTCAAATCTGTCCATTTTTTCCCTTTAAAACAAATTAGAAGTACTTACCATTTTTAATGGCTCTGTCACATAATATGATTTGCTTAGCCTGTCTAAATGTTACACATTCAGGTTGTTTACAGTTCTTTGACTACTATTAACAGCACAGCTAGAACTATCTTTATACTTTCTTTTCTATTTGTGTTTTTCCTTATGTAATCCTCAGGATGATACTGTTGGATCAGAGTGCAATTTATGGCAATTAACTGGCAGGTTGCTCTAGAAATAGTTCAGGTTGATAGCTTTAGTTTATAGTTTATAGCTCCTAAAACAACATAGGTTAATACTAATTCAATTTCTTCAAGGGTTATAGGACTTTTAAAATTTGCAAAAAAACAAAACAAAAATTGCTATTTCTTTTGATGTCAGTTTTGATGTTAAGTTTTTCTAGGAAAATGGCTATATCTGCTAAGTTTACAACTTTCTTCTATTTCTACAGGTATGTCTCCTTTTAATTCCTAATGTTGTTTATTTGTGCCTTTTCTCTTTGTTCTTAATGAAAATTGTTGGAGGTTTTCTAACTTATTACTCCTTTTGAAGAAACACGGTTGTTTAGCTTTGGACGATCCTCTGTAGAAGGAAATGGCAATCCACTCCAGTACTCTTGCCTGAAAAATCCCATGAACAGAAGAGCCTGGCGGGCTACATATACTCTAGTCCATGGAGTCGCAAAGTCAAACATGACTGGAGTGACTTAGCACACTCAGATAGACGCCCACTCCTTTCTATTGTATTTTAAATTTCTTCCATCTTTTGTTATTTCATTTCTTTTAATTTCTTTGGGTTTATTCTCTTTTACTAGCTTCTTGAGTTGGAAGCTTAACTCATTAGCTTTTAGCCTTTCTTCTAATATAAGTTTTTAAGTCAATTCATTTCCCCTCTAATACTGTTTTTTTTTTTTTTTTCAAGCAATATAACCCACAACCTTTTTAGGGGAGTATTTATTTCCAGCAACCATCATGCCTATCCAGTAAGATCTAATTTTTAAAAAGTTCCAAGTTCCAAAAAATTAATAATCCATTTTCTATAATCAGATGTAAAACTATGACCAACAAAAGATACAACGTAAACTTTTGTCATGTTAACAAAGTAAATAATTTTACTAAAAGTTGCTGACACTTCTATCAGTAGTAGCCATAGGGAGGCCGTTGGTTGTAACCATAGTGTCCATATTGATGAGGGTAGTAAGGTTCTTGTCTGTGCTGTGGGTAATTGTTACCCCAGGATCGTCCATGCCATTGATTGGATCGATTGTCACTTGGCCACCCCCGTCTGCTATCCCTACCTCTAAATTGTCTCTAATACTGTTTTAACTATGTATCTTGCTTTGATGTAAATGTTTCCAATATTATTCAGTTTTAAGTACTGAAAAATTTCCATTATGATATTTTTCTCTGATGTATATTTAAGTGTGCCTTTTACAGTTTTTATATAAGTAAGAATTTTTTTTTTTTTAACTGTACTATGCAGCTTGTGGAATCTTAGTTCCCCAACCAGAGATTGAACCCAGACCCTCAGCAGTGAAAACCCAGAGTTCTAACCACTGGCCTGCCAGAGAATTCCCTAAATGAGATTTTTTACATCATTTTTGTTACTGATTCCTAGTGTAATTGCTTTTAATCTCATAACAGTATGAGACTGATTCTTTAATACTCATTGAGTCACATTCTTTGGCCTTCTGCTTTTCAGTTTTTATAAATAACCCACATGTGTTGAGAAGAATATGCATTTACTAAGTGACTGGAGTTGGATTCTCTATTTGTCCATTAGCTCAAGTTTAGTAAATGTTTTATCCAATCGTCTGTCTACATTTTTACTAATGTTTAGTCTATTTAATCTTTCAGATACTGTTTGATATATGTTAAATTCTCCCCCATAATAGCAGATTAGATTTTTCTGATTGAGTTTATGCCATTTTTTTTTATAAAGACTTTGTTTTAGAGCAGTTCTAGGTTCACAGCAAAACAGACGTTTCCCATATAACTCCCTACACATGCACAGCCTTGTCCAGTATCACTATGCCCCACCAGAATGGTACACGATGAATTGAGAACCTAAACTGACACAGCATAATCATCCAAAGTCCACAGTCAACCATAGGGTTCATTCTTGGTGTTGTACATTCTATGGGTTTGAACAGATTCCCTGGAGGAGGAAATGGCAACCTGCTCCAGTATACTTGCTTGGGAAATCCCATGGACAGAGGAGCCTGGCAGGCTACAGTCCATGGGGTCACAAAGAGTTGGGCATGATTTAGCAACTAAATAACAATCAGTGTGTAGTGTTATGCCATTTATCATTTTAGATGTTTTTAGGCTATGTTATTAGGTACCTACAGGTTCAGAATTATTATACCTTCCTAGGGGATTAAATTTTAGTGCATTTTATAATGACGTGCTTTTATCTATAATAATGCTTTTCACCTTAAGGTCCATCTATTCTAATGTTGATAAAGCTATGTTGGTTTTCTTTTCTCTAGTATTGCTTTATGTATCCTTTCCCCACCATTTTGCTTTCAACTTTTCTGTGTTAATCTCTTAATCTCTTGAAAATTGCATGTGATTTGTATGTTGTTTTATGTAATTTTGATAATCTCTATTTATTAACTGATGAGTTTATACAATTTATGTTTATTATGATTACTGATATACTTGGCTCTATTTTACTATCTTATTTATGTTTTCTACTTATCTTCTTTTTTAATCATTTAATTAATTTTTAGCTTCTCTTTTTTCTGTTTTCCTGCCTTCCTTTGGAATGATTTTTTTAAAAATTCCATTCCTTTTTTTTCCTGCTGGTTTGAGGTCAGATATTTCATTTCTTTTAGTGGTTATTAGAAAATTTTTACCTGCATAGTTGTTTACATGCACAGTTGATCATTATGTCCACTCTCTTCCCAACAACTGTCCTTACCTTACATCTTAATGTTGTCCAATAATGTAGCTCAAGCCATCTTTTTTTGCTCCATACAGTAATATAATTATCACTGTTTAACAATCTTTGTTAGATTTCCCCACATTCTGATTTTGTGTGTGCATGTGGTTGCGCTGGGTCTATTTTTACGAGCAGGCTTAGTTGCACAAGCTAGGGCTACTCTTCATTGTAGTGCACTGGCTTCCTGTTGTGATGATTTCTCTTGTTGTGGAACACAGGCTCTAGGTGCATGAGCTTCAGTAGTTGCTGCATGCTGGCTCAATAATTATGGTTCACAGGCTTAGTTGCTCTGCTCCATGTGGAATCTTCCCAGGCCAGGGATTGAACCTGTGTCCCCTGCATTGGCAGTCGAATTCCTATCCACTGTACTACCAGGGAAGTCCCATTCTGATTTCTTTGTTCACCCTTTTGCCTTGCATTCCAAATGTTCCTTCTGGGATCATTTTCCTTCTTCCTGAGTTATAGCTCTTAGAATTTCCTTTAATAGAGAACTGTTGGTGGTAAATTCTCTAATTTGTTATCTAAAATTTATCAAACATTTTTTGTTTAATCTCATTCTTAAAAGATAATTTTGCTGAGGATAAAAATCTAGAATGGCAATTTCCCCCACCCCCTTCTTTGACACATTGAAATATTATGCTACTGTGTTCTGGCATCACTGTTGCTGTTGTGAAATCAGCTGTCAGTCTAATTATTCTTCCTTTTAGGTGATTTGTCTTTTCTCTTTGAGTACTTTTGAGATCTTCTCTTTTTCTTGGTTTTCTTTTTTTTTTTTTTTTTTTCAGAACAGCAACTCTAGATGTATATTTCTGTTTATTTAATCTGCCTGGGATTGTTGGGCTTCCTGGATGGGAGTGTTAGTGTTTTGCAACATAGTAGAATAATCTCAGCTACTATTTCTTCAAATTCTGTTTTTAATCCAATTGTCTCTATTATCTCCTCCATGCTGCTTTGTTTTATATTTTATATGTCTTTGACTCAATTAACTGTACTCTGGACCATTTATTTAGATCTATTCTCCAGTTCACTAATTCTTACATCATCTGTGTCTAATTTATTTAACTCACTCGTTGTATTTAAAAAAGAATCAATCTTTTCTTTGTATAAGTTACATTTTGAGAGGATAGCTATTTGAATCCCAACTATATGTAAGGAATCTCCTGTTAGTCTCTTCACATTGAATGGGCCCAAGCATTCTTTATCTCTGTTCTCTGCTATTTCATGAAGCATTCAGCTGATAATTCAAGTTCAGTTGACTTGGTTTGGCAGATACCCTAGGCAAAAGTTGACTTCAAGCACAGTTTTCCCACAGGGATTATTCTTTCCACTGTGCCTTTATACTCTGGGTATTTCTTACTTTCTTGCCAACTAAATGCATTTAAAAATATACTTGCTATTTTTATCTAGCTTTGTGGTTACTTTCATTGCAACTTGTTTATTCTCATACTCCCAGACATGGAAGCCTGGATATTTTTCTAGTCCATCCTTTCATTGAGGTGTGTTCCCTGTGGCGGGACCTCTAAAGGTCCCCAAGCAGTATAGAGAGCTCAATTCTGTCCCCCGTGGATGGGTCCAAGATCTATCTTCTCTCCTGGCTACAACAACTAAAGCCCAAGGATCTACGTTGCCAGTCAAAGTTCATGAACATTCTTTTTTTTTTTTTTAATCTAAATATTTACTTATTTTTGGTTACATTGGGTCTTGGCTACAGCACTAAGGAACTACTATTGTGCTTGGTCTCAGTAGTTGAGGCATGTGAGCTTAGTTGCCCTGCAGCACGTGGGGTCTTAGTTCCTGGACCAGGGATTAAAACCACGTCCTCTGCATTGGAAGATGGATTCTTTACTGGACCACCAGGGGAGTCCCCATGAACAGCCTTAAGGCAGCTGTGCATCTGCTTGGCCACACCAACAAACCATGTAGACTTACTGTATCTTTTGGGGCCAACTTATGCATAGAAAAATGGGGACAGTTTCTGTGACTCTCAGCAGCTTCACCTGCTTGTGGTCTTCCATGCTCAAGACAGCTCTATTTGTGTAATAGCTACACAAGCATGTACCTGTTGGCCAGATGGTCACCAACTCTAGGAAGATCTCTTAGGAAGATGATATCTTCCTTTGCAGTGGTTTTGAATCTTGTTGGGGTCATGGAACTCCTTGAGAATCTGCTGAAAGCTATCCTCCTTTCTCCAGGAAAATTCAATGCCAGCCAGAGTATAGGGTACTATTTCAGAGGGTTCCTAATTGTCTGCTGTAGACCATCAAGCACCTGTTGATTTGTCTTCCTAGAGATGAGTTTGAGGTTTCAGGCCTCAGCTCTGGAGGGCTTCTGCTTCCTCAGAAACTCACATGATATGCACATGATACTGGGACTAATGAGAAAGTTTCTTGCTCTGTGCTTTGGTTGATCGATCCCCTATTTGACCATTTTTATTTAACTAATTTGTTGTGCTGCCAATGGGCCTACACAATGTAGGCCTAAAAGAATGTTTTTATGTATTTATGTTTTTCCTTTCTACTGAGATGTGGTTTCCCCAACTGCGTTAAGTAAATAGCAGTTCTTGGGATCATTGTTATATTGACCTGATTTGTTGTGTTTTCAAGTCCTACCTGAGTGTTGACCTATTTCAAAGAGTCTGAGTTTCTTTTGATTTGTTCTTCAGTGAGTTTTTAATAAATGCAAACCAACAAGTTGTTTCCCTCCCTATTTAAGACTTTTTGTGACTCTCTGCATTTTTAAAAAAAAATATTGATTTAATTGGCTACACCAGGTCTTTGTTGTGGCATGTGGGATCTTTTAGTTTCCGGATGCAAACTCTTAGTTGTGGCTTGATGGGATCTAGTTCCCCACCAGGGATTGAACCCAGGCCCTCTGCATTGGGAGCGTAGAGTCTTAGCCACAGGACTACCAGGGAAGTCCCACTCTTGGCATGTATAGTTCGGCCTTTTTCTTAACCTCTCTGAACTAGTTTCCACCTGTAAAATAATTGGACTGAACTAAATCAGACATGCTTAAACTGCACTTCTCTGAGCACTTCCCCTGCCACCAGTGAATGTTACCTGTGAAATAGAGATCATTAGCATATCGTTTCTGTTTTATTTGGGTATCTTCCTCGAGGTTTTGTGCATTAATACTCTGCAGGGGTATGCAGGCTGGGGTGGGGGATGATTATAGGAGCGGCAGTGAGGGCTGGCAGCTGTGACAAAAGTTGCTGTAACAGCTCCTGATAGCTCTCTGACATCACATGTCTGGAGTGACTTGGGCATGCACTTCTCTGGGGGGCTGGCAGGGCAAGAGGAGTGGGGTTCGGGAGAGGCTCCTGTCTGCAGCTCGGCTTCTCCCAACACAGGTCTGCAGTGTGCCTTTTATGTGCTGGATCTGAAATAAGATTTATTGGGGATCGCTGATGTCCTGTGTGGCTCCTCCCTATGTAGGAGTCCTGTCCCCTGGGTGGCAGGTAGAGGCAGAGAGCGAGGCGTTGCTGTCTAATCCATCGATGCCCGCTCTGTGGCAGACCCCTTCCCTCTGCTTCCCTACCCCTGTTCCTACTCCCAGTTACAGGAAGGATGTTACCTGTGATGATGAGAACGTTACTGCTGCTGCTGCTGCCCCTGAGTCAGGCCGCTCCCAAGGACGGCACCATGAGGTAATGGCGTTCAGAGGGCAGGGCCATGGGCAGGGAGCAGGGGGAGTCTCAGAACATGTGGTGTGGGCCCCTCTGGGAGCTGGGAGAGTGAGCATACACTCCTTGACTTCTGTTTCATCCCCACCACCTCAACCATTGCCTTGTGCTTGTCGGAGTGTCCTCTGCAAAGTGGGCATTGACACCTGTTTTCTGGATTCACTTGGAACTGGGAGCTCATTTCCAATGAGGTGTGAGGTTGTGCCCTTGGGAAGGGGCTGCAGTCCACTTATCAGGAGCTTCTTACAGTGGAAGCTCCAAAGAAATAGAGATCCTTAGCATATCATTTTTATTTTATTCCAGTATCTTCTTTGAGGTTTTGTGTATTAGTACTATGCAGGGGGTATGCGGGCAGGGGTCAGGGGATGGATACAGAAGGAGCAGCGAGGGCTGGCAGCTGTGACAAAAGTTGCTGTAACAGCTCCTGACAGTTCTCTGACATCACACATCTGGAGTGACTTGGGCAAACAGGGATCCCTATCCAGAACTAAGAGTAAATCCTGAGTGTTATAAAAACCCTTGAGCAGATTGAAACTTCAAAACCAAAGTCTATGCCTCAAAGTGGGGGGTGAAAAGAGTCCATTTTGTATTATGGAGCACATTGGGTCTATATAGAACTGGGCAGTACCACCGGGCTCAGCTAGAGACCTGTCCCTTAGCAACCAACATCACAGGAAGAGTTGCCACAATCCACATCATCCTGCTGCCCACTGTGCTGGTTTCCTGGGGCTCCACCTTGTGTCTACTGGATGTGGCCTCCTCTAGCCACCACCTAACCAGATATTTTATTGGGATTTTCACTTAACATCTAAGCTAGGAATCTGCAAAGGCAGAATCTGGGGAGTCAGGTTGTGCTCCTGAGGCTCCCCCCAAGGCTTTTGGGGACCCGGAGAAGCAGCTCCTTTTGTGCCTGGGAGGTGATCTCTATCAGGAGCTTGGGAGTAGAAGGCTATGAGGCTGAGCCCTTGTGGAGGCTCTTTGCAAGGCCAGTCCCTCCCTCCCTCTCCAGGTTGGACCCTGAAGCACAGCATCTGCCTCTGCCCAACCCCTTTGAGCCAGGCCAGGAGCAACTTCGGTGAGTAGGCTAGGGTGAGGCCAGGTCTGGGGCAGCAGACCAGCATCTAGTGGGCTGATTTTCCACTTTTTTGCTAGACTTCTACAGAGCTACCTAAAGGGACTAGAGAGGATGGAAGAGGAGCCAGAGCACATGAGCCGGGAGCAGGGTAAGGGGCTGGGCTGATGGGGCCAGTGGACGGGAGGCTCAGGGCAACCAGAGCTGGGACTGACGTCGGGCCATCCCATGACTCCTGCCTGATCCAGCTGTTCCCTGATGCCTCTTCTGATCCAGCTTCTCTTCCTTAGTTCTCCTCTACCTCTTTGCACTCCATGACTATGACCAGAGTGGACAGCTGGATGGCCTGGAGCTGCTGTCCATGTTGACAGCTGCTCTGGCCCCTGGAGCTTCTGACTCTCCCACCACCAACCCGGTAAGCCCTTCTTCTTCTCCATGAAGAAGAACCAGCTCCTTGGGGCTTTGGGGTTTTTAATTTTATTTATTTTTGGCTTCACTGGGTCTTCATTGCTGCAGACGAGCTTTCTCTAGTTGTGGCAAGTAGGGGCTACTCTCCAGTTGTGGGCTTTGGGTTTCTCATTGCAGTGGCTTCTCTTGTTGCAGAGCACTGCCTAGGGTGCACAGGCTTCAGTAGTTGTGGTGTGTGGGCTTAGTTACCCCCAGGCATGTGGAATCTTCCTGGACCAGGGCTTGAACCCATGTCCCCTTCATTGGCAGGGGGATTCTTAACCACTGAGCCACCAGGGATGTCTGCTTTTGTTTTTCTCATCATGACTTCTTTTTTTTTTTTTTTTTTAGTGAATCCCCTGTAAAAGGAGGGCTCAGAGCCTGCATGGCAGGGATGCAGGGTGTGTGGGGAGGGTCAGGGTTCCTGGGAGCATCTCCAGTCACTACAGACTCTTCCACAGGTGATCCTGGTAGTGGACAAGGTGCTGGAGACTCAGGACCTGAATGGGGATGGGCTTATGACCCCTGCAGAGCTTGTCAACTTCCCTGGAGAGGCTCCGAGGCACACAGAGCCCAAAGAGCCTTCAGAGCCACAAGATGTTGGGATGCAGCCTCTGTTGGCTAAAAGCCCATCGAGACAAGAAGCACATGAAGCCCTGAGTCCTGGAGAAGCAGCTGGAGGACAGGCAGAGGCCAGAAGGGAGTTCTTGGAGCCTGTACAGGAGGCTGGGGGACAGGCTGATGCTTTAAGAGAAGCCCCAGGCCCTGGAGGGGAGGTTGGGGGACAGGTAGAGACTGGGGATGCTGGAGGGAGAGCAGAAGAACTTCTAGGAGAAACACTGGGGTCTAAGAACACCCCAAATGAGCTTGAGGTTCATGCTATTCAGCTGGAGAATAGTGAGATGTAAACCTTGAGGGTACAGGTTTGCACCACTAGAAGTCTCAGTGCTGGAACATAAGCTCTAAGAGTAGGGTGTGTATATTAGGATGACGACCACCTCTGTGCCCCCTCCTTGGCCCCAGTAGGTGGTAGGTCTTTCTGTGCAGTTCAGTTCAGTCTATGCAGTTCAGGGAGACCCTAAGTTGAAGGGCAGCTTTAGGGCCCAGATGACCAATAAAGAACTGAGTGAACCCATCCCCCTGGGCCATCGATCCTCTGGCCCAGCGTGTCCTGGCCTCAGACTGCAGGGGTCAGGAACTGAACAGGCCTCTTGGGAGGGCAGGAATTCAGTTTACCCAGTGTTCCCAGATGAGACACAGAAGAGTTCAGCACTAGGCCACAGCCAGCTGCAGACAACCGGGGAAGGGAGCTCAGCCTCTCCCCAGGGCCCAACCTCTGATACACCCTCCTATATTCAGGGCAGATCTGCTCCATCACCCTGTATCTGCTCCCCACCCCTGAAAATATTAATAATAACTGCCATTTACAGAGTGCCTAGTGCACACCGGGCATCATGCTGGGCATTTTATAGATTGTGATTTCATCCTCAGCATAACTGTATGACCAGGCGGAATGATCTCTATTTGACAGATGAGGAAATTGGGGAAGATGGAATTCAGTACATACCCAAGGTGAAAGTGAAAGTTGCTCAGTCGTGTCCTATTCTTTGCGACCCCATACGGTCCATGGAATTCTCCAGGCCAGATACTGGAGTGCCTTTCCCTTCTCCAGGGGATCTTCCCAACCCAGGAATTGAACCGGGGTCTCCTGCATTGCAGGCAGATTCTTTACCAACTGAGCTATCAGGGAAACCCATACCTAAGGTGACGTAGCTAACTAGTGGTCGATTTGAATTCAGGTCTGACTGACCCTAAAACCCACACCTTTGATCACATTCTATGGCCTCACCCTGCTGCCCAAAGCCCATATGGACACTTGCTGATTCCCACATGCATTCATCTGGGTCTCTCCCAGGGAAGGCACCGCTGTATCCTGGGTCACATTTGTGGCCGAGGCACCATCTTGACTTCAAGGCAACTTGCAGGGTGGGGCATGGGGGCAGTTGCTGGGGAGATATTTTTGGATTGCAAAGGCTCCACCAAATCACAGAGTAAGCTCCCTCCCTGCTGGCCTTTCAGGTTGGCTCAGCCACGTGGACATGCTTGTGGCCACTGGAGTCTTGTGACAGCACCAGCGCCCAGAGGAGCTTGTCTCGTGGCTTGTGGTTATTGGGAAGGCTCCCTGGGGTGCAAGGGCTTAAGTCTCCCCTCCCACTAGGAAGGTTCCAAGTCAGTCAGGCCCTCTATCCCTGCCTCCTGGGCACTGACACCCACACTGGTGACTGCTCTTCACCAGGAAGACCTGGGCCTCCAGCTAGGGCACAGCTCATGGCAAGCCTGGCTCACTTCCTGCTGCTCTGGTCTCCACGGGCCCTCCTCTGGAGGGCAAGAGGTGAATTTGGGGAATAGAGAAAAAGAGGGCAAAGGATTGTTGGATCAAAACCTCTAGAATCCCCAGCCAGAGCAGCTCAGTCATTGAAGACTCACAGACTGCCAGGAGGAAGCTGGCTCTGGGAAGATTTATTTGCTCTGCGACTCTGCCAAGTGAGATGCCAGGTCACAGGTGGAGCCCTCCCGCAGCCCGGATCGGCCCAGGAAGTAGGGCAGCCTGATGCCAGGCTGGCCTCAGAGGAAAAGGCAACAGAAGCTAGTGACGCCAGCCAGGGGCAGGGTGTGAGCCGGTGTCCGCTGCCACAGGGCACTCATACGATGCCATCAAAACCCTGTAGACCACACTTCTTGCCGGCCACCTGGCAGCCGAACCTCAGCGCCTCCTGCATGCTCTTCCCTGGACAGAGGGACGAGTGGCCAGGTCAGCCGGGTCTTCGGGGCAGGGGCAGGCCCCAGCCCTGTGCCTCTTGCTGAGGTACTCACCCTGGGACAGGCTGAAGATGACCGCCGCATTGAAGGTGTCTCCGGCCCCCAGAGTGTCCACCACGCGGGGCGGTGGGAAAGCATCCGAGTGAAGCAGCCGTCCATCAGGGCCCAGCGCGTCGGCGCCCTCCTCCGCCCAGGCACAGACCAGTGTGGCCCTGCGACACCCTCCTCTCAGCGAGCTGTTAGCCCAGCCCTGGCCCCAGCCTCGTCCCCCTCCCAGGGCAGACCCTGGATGCCAGGCTCCCTCACTCCTCACACCGGCACAGGGGCATGGCCTGACTTCTGCGAGCTCACCCCTTCCTCACGCGGCTATACAGGCCCCTCAGGGCCTCCTCTGCTGACCGGAACCCGAAGTGCTTGGCCACATCTTTGCTGACAAACACCTGTGGGCAGTGGAAGAGAGGCTGATGGTCACCAGAGCTCTAGCCCCAGCTGTCCCATACCACCAGCCGCCTGGCATTGATATTATAACGCTGCTCCTCCAACATGGCCTCCTAAGCCCTCAGGTAGCGTCCCGTTGTACCTCACAAAAGGTTTTCTCACTCGCTCAAGATATGCTGGAAAAGCAGCCATGTAAACTGTGACACAAAAGTCCCAGATCAACGAATCTCCTCATAATTGAAAACCCAGGACGGGTCTTGAGCGCCATCTTGGGGTGCAGTATACCATGAGCGGGTTAAATCACAGCTCTCAGGAGGGTTTTTTTTTTGTTTGGCTTTCCTCATACAACTGTGCCCTCTGATTTCTTCATCTTTAAAACAAAGGGCTGAGGGGGGGTGGTTCTAGAGCTTTCTTAACACCAGCTACACATTAGAATCACCAAGGAGTTTTATTAAAAAATACTTCAGGCTCCACCTCTATCAACCAAATTGGAAAAAAAAAAATGAGGGTGGGGTTCAGGCATCCACATTTTTTAACGTGCAGCCAAGAGCCCAACCTGCTTCTCTATGGTGCTAGGATTACCACCTAGATTCCATTTATGTTCCATGTTTACATGGGCAAGTCCCCTTCCCATCCTCCCTCACCCCCTAGTGGCTCCCAACCCATAGCTGGAGGACACCTTGGAGAATGGTGCCATCCTGTCATTTGATAAGAGGAAAAGTCAGGAGGCCCACTGAGGAGAGGCTGGCCCTGTGGCTGGTTGTCCTGGCCTTGTCCAATCCCTCTGGACATACCCATGAGCGCCCTGGGGTGGAGAAATTCTACTGCTTGCTTACTGTTGAGGTCTGTGCAAGAGCCCAAAGCAGGGAGTCTGTCTCTTTGCTTTGCCCCCACCTGCCAACATCACCATGTGTGAAAGGCAGGACAAGGGAATACTCAGACTCCATTTAAGAACCAAATTAAGCTGGATGTGGCTGGGAGCTGGGGGGAGTGTGTGGGATGGGGGGGTGGGTGCTGCAGGGGACACTTACCACATCTCCATAACCAAACAGCTGGTACAGCTCCTCACGCGGCTTCTCCACCTCCACGGACACCTGGATCTTGCCCTCTGGAGGCTGCCTGGCATTGTGCTGTTCTATCCGCTGCAGCATCTTCACCTGCTCTGATGCATTCCGGCCCTGAAGCAGAGCAGGGCAGGGCAGGCAGCTCAGGACCAGCCGGGCTCATTCTTCCCTTCCTGCTGGAACTATCGGTGATAGGGGAGAGGGGCCAGGGCTTCTGGGCTGGAACTCATCTTAAGTCTCAGAATTCCAATGCTGTTATGGACCTTGGAGACCTTATCAACCAGCCCTCCCATTTCACAGATGAAAAGACTAAAGAATAAAAGAGACTTTCCTGGGACTTCCCTGGCAGTCTAGTGGTTAAGACTCAGCACTCCCAATGCAAAGGGACATGGGTTCAATTCTTAGTCAGGGAACTAAGGTCCGATATGCTACACAGTGTGACCAAAAAAAGAGAGAGACTCTCCTAAGGACTACAATAAATTAAATGACAGAGCTAGAACTAGAACTCAGGATCTCAAGATCTCCTTCCATCTAGACTCCAAAACTTCTCTTGGAATGAAGACTCTAGTTCCCTTTATTTGGGAGCTGGCTTGGGGCCTCTCATTCCTGCCTTCCCCAGAGTTAACAGATCAGGTCTCCCATGGCCTGGCTCCTGCCAGAGGCTGAGTCTGGAGGAGGTGGGGCAGCCTGTAACACAGAAAGCACCGGACTTTGCCTAGAGCCAGCCTCCCGCTTCTGGTGCCTATATCCTGCTGTGTGATCTTGAGTACATCACTGAATCTTTCTGGGCCTCAGTTGCCCACCTGAAAACATAAATGAGGACAGCGAGGGGATGAGTTGGGCAGTGCTTGGCTCATTTATCTCTAAGGAACTCCATGGTTTGAAAACCAAGGAGGCAGAACATGCGGAGGGGCTGGAAGGTCGAGGCCCTCAAAACACAGGTAGGGCAGGGCTTGCCTCAATGTGGATCCACTTGAACCGGGTCAGCTCAACCTTCTCAAAGTCTTTCGCAGACACATCTGGCAGGTTCCTGAGTCACAGGAGAGAGAAGGTGCAAGGTGAGGTCAGCCAGAGCTAGGATCTCTAACTCGTTGCTAGGGTCCCTATGCCTGGCACTGCCTGCAGCATGGCAGGAAGCTGGATCTATAGCACATGCTTCTGAGGCTCAGCCCTGAAACAGACCCTGTTCTAGGCTAAACTTGATACCACTCCTTACCCCACTGAGCTCCATCCAGACAGGGGACTAGAGGCAGTTTCCTAGAGTACCCCTTCCTGTGTTTGAGGCTGTGATACTATCTAAAGGCAAATTCATCCACCGCATTTGTCCAGTAAGGGGCCAATCTACATGCTTTGGAGACCACATTTCCCAAAATGCTCTAACAGTACCAGGGACTACAATTCCCAGAATTCCTCTTGCCAGCAGCCCACACAGCTCCCAGCATGCAGTGTCCCGGGAAACTACAAAGGGGACTGCCATTCTTCCCAGAGCTCAGGTCTGGTCCTACTCACTTCTGGCTGCCCCAGCAGTGTCAGCAACACTGTCCTGAGTTTGGCAGCTCCATGTTATGATCCTGAGATCAAGGTTGGCGCTTGAGGATGAATTTATTTTTGGCTGACTTAGGTGTGGAAACCTGGGAAGGGTCTGCATTGATCTTCCTTAGCCAGAGACCTACACACAGCCAGTGTCCTCCCATCCCTGTTCTGCACTGAATCCTCCCTCGATTTAACTAGCTGCCTAACTGTGTCCCTTCCGAGGTGCTTCCCCATTGATAAACGGGGCTGACCCCTAGCCTAACAGGCCTGCTGCAGCTGGAGATAACGTGTGTGGATATGCTTGGACGGAGGCCAGTAGGCAACAGACAGTTCTCCTCGGAGCTTCTCTCCCTCCCTTCCTGTTAATACCCATATTGTGTCCCTGATCAAAGTTGCTATAGAGTGTTGCTTAATGGGCAGATGGCCAAGCATTACCCAATGGGAAGATTGCCTCTAGCGTGTACGTCTACCCACTTATTCGTTGGGACACAAAGAGCCCAGGGCCACTGGTTACAAATCTTGTCCTAGAATGACTGCCCCTCCCCCAGACCCAGTGGTTATGCTGGGTGGTGGGGTCAGCTGGAACCCCAGGGTAGTTGGGCTTGGGCCATCTCAGCCCTAAAAGAGTACCTGGCACACACACACTAGGTTCTCAGGAAACTAAACCTCTGAGATTTTTCAGGAGGGAATCTGGGAGAGATGTCTCTCCCTGGCAGCCTGGGACCCTAAAATGAACCCCCCCTACCAGGTTAGCAAATCATCAGATGGCCCTTATCTGCTGACCCAATGTCCCTCTTCCCTCTTTCAGCAATAGCTGTGGATGGTATGTGGCATTTGATCTAGCCTCATTATGCTGGACCCTTGGGAGTGGCTCATCTTTTTTGAATACCCAAACGCTAGCTCCTGGTACCATGCTGCAGGCTGGCAACCCTGGAAACTCCAGTGTGCCCCCTTCAGGGATCAAGGTGGTTTGAATCACATCTCCCATCCCTCTGCCCTCAGAACAACTTACCCACCCCCACACCCAGGCTTCTGATTGGCTAGTTATGGAGGAATCCCATCACAAATTATATTTTGTATAGGTCTGCCTGCCCCTTCTTGGTGTTGACCAAGGCTAAGTCTCCAGGCAGAGCAAAGCTCACCCCTTCCCACCTCACTTGTCCCCTAATTGAAAACAATTCCAAAATCACTGAACAGTATGGCATAGGGACAATTTCTGGTACAAAGAGGGAGGCCACAAAAGGCAGGCAACTGGGATGCCTGTGTGGCAAGTGAGGAGGCTGATTGGTGGGCTTTGGTGGGCCAGGGGGGCCTTACGTGTCGTAGAGTACAATGGTACGGGAGCCATTGGAGTTGTTGACGATGCAACAAGAGCACGGGGTCTCCCCTCTGCTCTGCCAGGCCACCTGAGACACATCCACGCCCCGCTGCCTGAAGTCAGCCACCAGGAAGCTTGGTGGGGGAGCCCGAGCCAAGGGAAGGGCAAGGAGACACAGATTAGAGACTCCAAGTGGCCCGGGCCTTCCAGACCTTCCAGTGGGGAGCGGTGCTTCCAGTGGGGAGCACACAGGCATCGGAGAGGAGGGTCCTGCTCTGGGGGCTGAGTGATGGTGGCAGCAGCAGCTGGCAGGGTGCAGACAGGTGTACAAACCTGTAGGCATGTAGGATGGTGCGGCTACCACTGGCCTCGCTGATGATGACTGTAGAGATGGGGACGGAGCCCGTGGTCTGAAAGACCATGTAGCGGAGGTCCACAGAATAGCGGCGAAGGTCATCCAGGACAAAACTGCCAGGGCGGAGTAACCCGGGGAGGCGCAGTTCGGCGGGGGTTTGGGGATTAGAGGGTAGGTGGTGGGGCCACTGGGGACCCTGGGGTGCAAGCAGAGAGGCTAGGAAAGGACTGGGGTTTGTCACAGGCTTGGGGTTGGGGGGCAGGAGAGGTGGGAGAGCATGGCCAGAGCTCAGGGTGGAAAATCCTCATGTACATTCTTTTAGGTCCTGACTGACCCTGGCCTTCAGTCTGATTCAAGCAGGAAAGATTTCACTAGATGGGGTGGATTTGGGGACTGAGGATATGTACCCTGTTTGAACCAAGCAGGTGAGGGCACTGTGGCCTGCTCCGTTCAAGGCAAGGCAGTATTAATAATTACAATGTGATACTTTGTTCCCCAGAATTCCAGTTGAGCTATTTCAAATCCTAAAAGATGATGCTGTGAAAGTGCTGCACTAAATATGCCAGGAAATCTGGATAACTCAGCAGTGGCCACAGGACTGGAAAAGGTCAGTTTTCATTCCAATCCCAAAGAAAGGCAATGCCAAAGAATGCTCAAACTACCGCACGATTGCACTCATCTCACACGCTAGCAAAGTAATGCTCAAAATTCTCCAAGCCAGGCTTCAACATTATAGGAACCGTGAACTTCTAGATGTTTAAGCTGAATTTAGAAAAGTCAGAGGAACCAGAGGTCAAATTGCCAACATCCATTGGATCATCGAAAAAGCAAGAGAGTTCCAGAAAAACATCTATTTCTGCTTTATTGACTATGCCAAAGCCTTTGACTGTGTGGATCACAACAAACTGGAAAATTCTGAAAGAGATGGGAATACCAGACCACCTGACCTGCCTCCTGAGAAATCTGTATGCAGGTCAAGAAGCACCAGTTAGAACTGGACATGGAACAACAGACTGGTTCCAAATAGGGCAAGGAGTACGTCAAGGCTGTATACTGTCACCGTGCTCATTTAACTTATACGCAGAGTACAACATGAGAAATGCTGGGCTGGATGAAGCACAAGCTGGAATCAAGATTTCTGGGAGAAATATCAATAGCCTCAGATATGCAGATGACACCACCATTATGGCAGAAATGAGCCTTTCATCAGAGCCTCCTGATGAAAGTGAAAGAGGAAACAAAAGCGGAAAAAAAAAAGAAAAGAAAGTGAAAGAGGAGGAGAGTGAAAAAGTTGGCTTAAAACTCAACATTCATAAAACTAACATCATGGCATCCAGTCCTATCACTTCATGGCAAATAGACGGGAAACAATGGAAATAATGAGACTTTATTTTGGCGGGTCTCCAAAATCACTGCAGATGGTGACTGCAGCCATGAGATTAAAAGACACTTGCACCTTGGAAGAAAAGCTATGACCAACCTAGACAGCACATTAAAAAGCAGAGACGTTACTTTATCAACAAAGGACTGTCTAGTCAAATCTATGGTTTTTCCAGTAGTCATGGATGGATGTGAGAGTTGGACTATAAAGAAAGCTGAGCGCCGAAGAATGGATGCTTTTGAACTGTGGTGTTGGAGAAGAGTCTTGAGAGTCCCTTGGACTGCAAGGAGATCCAACCAGTCCATCCTAAAGGAAATCAGTCCTGAATATTCACTGGAAGGACTGATGCTGAAGCTAAAACTCCAATATTTCGGCCACGTGATGTGAAGAACCAACTCATTTGAAAAGACCTTGATGCTGGGAAAGATTGAAGGTGGGAGGAGAAGGGGATGACAGAGGATGAGATGGTTGGATGGCATCATCAACACAATGGACATGAATTTCAGTAGGCTCCGGGGGTTGGTGGACAGGGAGGCCTGGCATGCTTCAGTCCATGGGTCGCAAAGTCAGACACGACTGAGCAACTGAACTGAACTTTGTCTCCCGGTTCCCTCTGCTTGCCCATCCCCCTGTACTCCTCTTTTGGAAGTTCTTCCCATCCTCATGTGATTGCTCTCATTCCACACCTGCCTTCATGATGCACAGCCAGGAGGTGGTTGTGCCTTGGTGGGGGCTGGGGGGCCCGCTCACTGCCCTCGCCTTCCACAGCATGGTGAGCCCTCCCAGTGCCTGAGGCCCCTCAGTATGGGTCCAGAACTCCTGCTCAGAATCCCCTCTGATCAGAATGAGTTGTGGAGGCCGTCCCTCGGGAAGACTGCACCAGCAGAACAAGGAGACCACCCCGCCCCTCCCAGCTCTTTGGAAATGCAGAGTCCTGTCACCAGGAGCTGGCAACTACACCCAGTAGTGTAGCCACCATCCTGGCCTTTCTCCCTATGACTGGACCCCACTTTCAGCAACAGCAAAACTGGACAATACAGATTGGTATAAAGGTACCACATCAGGGCATCATTCTTTGTCTTACACCTTAAGGAGTCTTTAAACAGTAGCTTTCCCAGGTGGCTTAGATGGTAAAGAATCTGCCTGCAATGCAGGAGACCCAGGTTCGATCCCTGGGTGGGGAAGATCCCCTGGAGAAGGGCATGGCAACTTACTCCAGTATTCTTGCCTGGAGAATTCCATGGACAGAGGAGCCTGGGGGACTACCATCTGCGGGGTTGCAGAGTTGAACATGACTGAGTGACTAACACTTTTCCACTGCATGGATGGAAAATATGATTTGGTTTGCCAAATAACTTTTTGTCCCCACAGTGCCAGGCACATGGTAGGTGCTCACGCAGTGTTTGTTGAGCAGGTGGGGAGAATTCGGAATGGCACACTTATCAGCATGACTGCTACTCAAAGTCGGGCCCACCGCCCAGAGCAAGAGGCCCAGTCTTGCTCTAGCTGGGAGGAAAGGCAGCTGCTGAAGAGGGTTAGCAAGTGAGTGAGCCGCTGTTGGCTCTGGGTCCCTCTGTCCCACCCCAGAGGGCAGGCTCTAGCCCCATTATTTGCTCCATGCCAGTACCTAGGGAAGGGAACCTGGCTGCAACTTGGGGCTGGGCTCTGACAGCGTTCAAAGGGCTGTGCTTTTCAGGCCAACAAACTGGCAGCCTGCCCCTGTGCCCACAGTGGGCAAAGTGTGTGCCTCACCTCCTGATAAGTGCTTGCTGAGTCGGCAGTGCCAGGGGTCAAAGGGCTCTTGGGTCCCTGCAGCAGCCAACACAGAGCAAGTGCATTGGCAGCCTTCTGGCCGATGGAAGCATGGGTCTAGGCCCAGTTTTAGCACATGGCATCGGGGTGTCCTTGGGCAGGGAGCTCTCGCTGCTTCAGTGAACAACAGGGACACAAACACTGGCCCTGCCCCCTCAGTTAAGAAAGAAACTGTGGGCCTGGACCCTGGGACCACGGATGCAGGACATCCTGGAGGGAGGGTGGGTACAGCATGTCCCTAACTGCCTTCTGCCACAAGCACAGGCAGGACAAGGAACATGAGAAGGGCAAAGTCACATCCACCACGGAGAGTCTGTTGGAAGCAAGGAAGGAGAAGGTGGGAAGCTGAAGCAGGCTCCAGGGAGTGGCCAAGGAAACAGGCTGTGAAAATGAAACCTTAACAAGAGCAACATTAATGACTGAGCAGCAGATAAGCCACACCAGGGAGAGTCTGGGATGCTGGTCCTCCACTTCCCGACTGCCCCCCCTCCCCGCACCACCACCCATTTCTGGAGGTCACAAACCATTTCTCAGAGACTGTCCACCCAACCCAAGGCTTCCTTCTCCCCCCATCCTGAGGGTCGCCCTTCCCTGCTCCCACCACTTACTCAGCAACGTGGCCTGGGGCCAGCGAGCCCATGAAGGCGCAGGGGGCTCCAAGCAGAGAGAGGACGGTGCAGGAGTTGGATGCATTGCCTCCACGCTGCCATCTCTGGGACAAGCACCTGCAAAACACAAGGAGGGTCCCTGCAACTCCAGCAGACTGAGCCCTGGGTGGGGGCCCAGAATGAAAAAGCCAGGAGGTCCCCCTCAGGGAGCATCCAGGCCAGCCTTAGGCTCAGCGAAGGGAAGAGGCTTGGGTGAGGACCAGATCTGTTCCCCAGCCCAGGCTAAATTCAAGCTCACAGTGATTAATATCTGTCTCCCACTATTCTTATGACATCAGGAAAGCACTCCCTCGGTATCATCACAGTTTGAGAGTTCCACTGACTCTAGGTTACCTCCTCCTCTGTAACAGTGACCCAGTTCTCCACCTTCCCCCTCCTCCCATCAAGCCTTCTCCTTGACAGCTGCCTCTTCCCAAAGGTGGCAAATCTACTGCTGCTCCTGTCTTAGGAGAGCCCATTTCAATAATAACTTAGACTAAAATGATTAAGACAAGAAGCAAACCTGGACACTGTGATTATTTAAGAAGGTGGGGAGGAGGGGGGTCGCATGGTAACTTTTTCTTGTCAAAAGTTGAAAAAGATTGTTGAATGAAGACAAGTGTTTCTCCATCTTTGTTTTTCTTTTTTTCAGCTTTATTGAGATGTAATTGACATATAACATTCTGTAAGTTTAAGGTGAAGAGAGGGATGATTTGATATATGTATACTGTGAAATGATCACTACAATAAGGTTAGTTAACACATCCATTCCAGCACATAGTTGCCTTTTATTTTCCTTTGTTTTTCTCCATCTTTACTGAAAATCTAACAAAAGGAAACTAAGTCAGGATACACCTGATGGGCTGTCATCATCAACAACAAAAATGATAACTCACGCATATACAGTCAAAGCACTGGAATGATTTTTCATTTGTGTTCCAATAATACTGTGAGGTAAACAGTGCAGGCTGTTATTTCTATTCTTCCAGTTTCAAAAAGGATAACAATAATAACTGCAGTAGCTTACCATAAGGGGAACAAGCACCAAAAAACCACTAATTAAGAAAAATAAATGAAGTAGAATTTTTAGACTAAGGTCTATTTGTACACAAAACTTAACATAAGTTCCCTTTAGCCTTTGGAAAAGGGGGCCATGATCCCATGAGAAAGAAGGATACTAATCTGTAAAGGATCCAACGTTTCTCAAGCTATGAGCTTTAGAGACATTTTCGTGCTGTGAAGAGAGGAGAAGCCTGGAGGGACTGGACTTGCTCAGAGTCACACCAACAGTTAAGCACAATGCTGATACCAGAACTCAGGTTTCCTGACCCCAAACCACTTCAAATGCTTTGTATTTTTAACTGGGTCCCAGCCTGAGGAGGTTTCAGAGAAAGGGGCTATAGCTTTACTCTGTGGAAACCCTTCAAAGTCACACGGACTCCCAGCTTTCTGTGCAGAAACGCTCTGCTGAGCATGAAGATGCTTTCTGGAGGGCCCTTTAGGCTTGGACTCTGAGAGGCCATGCCATTTCTCTGGGGCTGGCCGAGTTCCAGGTGGCACCTCCTGGGAGTTCTCCGCTGCCCAGGGAGAGAGCCTGGGACAGGAGGGGCTGAGGTGCCAGGAAGGCCTGGGTCCCCACTCAGGTCTGCCCACAGAAGCACAGTAGAGTCCAGGGGCTGGGCTGGGTGGGATGCGTGCGTGGGGGAGAGGCCCTGAAGACAAGCAGACTGCTCCACAGAGGAGCGGAACCATGGGTCTGGGGGGTGGGAGGCGCCCCCTGAAGGGCAGGGGGCATGGAGGACATGGGAAGGGTCTCTTCAGAGAGGCACCTCGCTTAGTGCCCACCTTCAGAACTGGCCCCCATCAGGGGGACTAGCAGGCTCTGGTCCCAGCCTCCTGACAAGCAAGCTTAAAGGGACTGGGACTCAGCTCTAGTGGAGCAGGCACTCTGGGTTCCCCTGAGGTCCCCCACAGTTGGTAGAGAACCTGTAGCCCTAGAATTCACCGTTCTCCTGAGAGTCAGCCTATCCCTCACTGTGCACCAAGTCCTGGGGCCAGCTTGACCTTGGTAGGTGGGTGAGGTCCATACAGCAGCACACCCTTGTGCCCAGGCCCCACTGTCCCTTCACCCTTTGCCAGGGGCTCTAACGTCTGGCAAACAAAGCAGCCCAAAGCAAAGGGTCACCTCCATGAGATGGGCAGCAGCAAAGCAACAGGGAGCACCTGAGAGGGTAGAGGGCTGGAGACCTAGAATTAGGACACGTGAGTTTTACGACTGCTCTGCCACTCCTTAACTATGTGGCCTCTTACAAATACTGTCTCATTTCTCCAAATCCTTAGCTTCCTCATCTATAAAGAGAGAACGGGACTGATCCTTACATGCTTCCCGTGGGCTGCTGTGAGGAAAGCATGTAATGACACCTGTGATAGTGCTTTATGGACCCAAAGCCTGAAGAGCTCCCGGTGCTCTCCCCTCAGTGAGCCTCATGGTTACTGGCACTGTAGTGTCTTCCCGAGCTCAGTCTTGAACTCACCTTTTGTCCAGTTCTTGGCTGAGACAACTGAGAGCCAAGAAGCAATTCTTCTCTGTATTCTGAGCACTAGACTACCCCAAGAGAAAATCCCAGATTCCACTGCATTGGAGTGTCTTGGGATGACAGTGTAATGGTGTGGTTCTTATCAAGAGTAAATATAGGAACCAACAAATGACTCTTCAACTTCCACCAGACAACCAAGAAGGGTGTTTTCCACTATGTTGTTCACCAAGTACTGTAAAAAGGACTTCTGGTAAACTCCTTTTGGAATTCAGCACAAGGAAAAAGTCTGTACGGCTCATGAACCAGCTAGACCATAACTCATAGCATCTCCAAATCTGCCTGCAGCGCCAGCAAGCCCTGAGCTACAATGAAGCTCAAAGACCATGGTTTTCAATGTTTTTGAACAGTCTAATTGCACATACTTCTTATTGTAAGCTACCTCGAAAACACTGCTTAAAAGAAACAGATGAGATCTATAAGTGGTAAATAACTTAGAAGTAAATGCTGGTGATAGGCACGTGCACAGGTCTCGTTAAAAAGGAAGGCACTGCTTTTGCACCTTCCTAGCTTATGCCCTTCGGTTAAGTCACTGTGTCTCTCAGGGTCTCTACTTGCTTAGTCTACTTGGTAAAATGGGGATAATGGTGTCTGACAGGTCCCAGGATTGGAAATGCGAAGTGGAGAACACAGTGCTATCCAAAGCCTGGAGCTTAATACTAAAGGCCTCAATTCTTTCCCCAGGTCCCCGGCAGAGGGCATGAGGCACCGGCTCCCAAGGCGACTCACAGCCTCGCTGCCGGGGCCCCGGCTTCGCATCCCTGCAGTCTTGGCCGCCTGGCACAACGCGGGGCTGCAGCGGCCCCTGGGGTCACCAAGGGGCCCGGGCGCCCCTACCTGCTGTCCGTGTCCTCCTCTGGGTATTTGTCCATCACATTGATGATGTCCAGCACCACTAGCCCCACGCACAGAATCTGTTTCTCTTCCATGAGGCTGCTCCCGGAGCTTTCTGCCCACCTGGCTGACGGGTTCCTCCCTGGTTCTGCCTCCTATCCGGGTGAATGGTGTCCCGGCTCCCAGAGTCTGGCTCCTCCTCCCCGTTCGGAGCTCCTCCTCCAGGGAGCCTCCGGCGGCGGCGAGGGGTGCCGTGGGGTGCAGGGGACGGAGCGGGGCCCTTGCTCCCCACGACCACCCACTCCAGCAGATCTGGGAGCGCAGACCCCGAGGTCTCGGTACCCGGTCTCTCCTTGGCAATCTGCGTGGCCCAGGAGATGGCTACGTCTTTCCACTTCTTGCCCTCAGTTTCCTCACTTGTCAGACGAACTCTGAGCTGATGCAAAGCTCTCTAAAGCGTAACTAGGCAACCTCCTGAACGCCAAGAGAAAGTACAGCAGAAGAGCATCCCATGCCCCGCCCGCTCCCGCACCAGCTGATCTCTCTCCAGACCCCAGGCCCGCGGGGTTGAGTCGGGCCTCGCAGCTGCAGCCTGACCCGCAAGCATCCCCAGCCGCGACTCGCGCTGTCCCGACTGCCCCGCCCCGCCCCCGAGGTCGGGCCAATCCCAGACCGAGGCCTCGCTTCTGCCGCGGAGCAGCCGGGGCACGCAAGGTGGGCCGCGAAGGTCACGTGACGGGAGACCCCGCCCAGCGGCGCCGAGGTCTCGGGTCCCGGCGCCCTCTGGCGGACTCGGGCGGAAAGGGCGCGACCAGGTGGAGGGCCTGGCTGGGGCTCTAAGCAGCGGACGCGCTTCGCTCTCGCGCGTCCAGAGCTACTCCGGCCGGAGCTGAGGGCGAGAACCTGGTCGGGGGCTCCCTCACCCCGTCCCCTGTGTACTCCTGTCGACCCATGAACACATAGTAGAGCAGACGGCTTGTTTAGTTTTGTGTTTTTTAGAAAAACCAAGTGTCTTTATTCCTGAATAGTTTAGTATGGCGGTGGGGGCCGGAGCCCCCTCGAGAGAGCCCTGGAGCCGAGGGACTCGGCCTGGAGGCCAGTTGGGGGAGCAGAGGGTGCCAGGATGGGCCCCTCCGCAGTCTGGGTCCTGCAGGGACGGCGATCAGGCCAACGGTCTGGACGAGGGGACCCCAGAGTCCCCGACCCGCTGCACTCCAATCATAGGGAGGACGCCGCTCGGCTCGGGGCGCCTCTGCTGCGGCTCCCCAGGGGTCGGCGCCGCGTCCCAGGCGAGACCCCGGGGATCCCGCCCCTGGCTGGCTGTTTGGCCGCGTAGACACTTCGGGCGGGTGGGACCCGGTCCCTCCCGCTTCCCCACCCCGCCGTCTACGCCTGTTCGAGCTCCAGGTCTTCGTAGAGCAGGGCTCCGCTGAAAATGGTGAGCGGTTCCTCCGAGTGCGCCAGCTGCCCCATCACCAGGTCGATGCAGACCGTGTCCCCGACCTGCAGCGGCAGGATGAGGCTGAACACGCCTAGGGCGCCCGGGCTAGGCTGGCTCTCGGCCACCGGCTTATTCTCCAGGCCCTCGGGCTCGTAGCCACCGGAGTCTATGCGGGCCACGCCCAGGTTGGAGCGGGACAGCACGGCCTCCACCTTCTCGTGCCGGTGCCCCGTCAGCACTGCGCTCAGCAAGTAGCGCCCGGCCAGTGGCGCCGTGAACACGCCTGGGGACAAGAGTGACAGTGAGGAGGGGGACAGGTGGCAGGGGCCAGGAAGGCGTCCGGGAGCCCTTCCAGAACTGTACTACGGAGGGACCCTCTGGGTCTTTTCTACCTCTCTTCTACCAGGACCTGAGCTCCACAGACGGCAGGGAAATCGGTGTTTTTGTTCATTTCCGCATCCCCAGCACTTGAGGACAGTGCCTGCAATAGCAGGCCCCCAGAAAGAGCTGTGGAAGGATAGGCTCTTTCCTTCCCCACCCACCCCTCAATCCAAGTTGTGGTGAGAAGGAATAAATGAAGGCGAGAACAGCGTCTCCCCAAATCAGAGAATGAAAGGATCTAGCTTGTCTGAAAGGGCAAGAATGGGGATATGTCACCGCATAGCCTCCGCAATCCCCCCAGTGCCCAGCTGCCCACTTCCAGGCTCACCAGTCTCTGGATCGTAGTAGCCCCCATCGTTGAGCAGGACTCTGTCGAAGGGCACAGTGCCTGGTTCAGACCGGGGCAGGCTCAGGGCAGCTGAAAAGGCTACCCGCGGCACGGAGGCTGCTGGTGCCCCCTCGGGTCCTGGGGTGGGGGGAGGGTGTCAGAGTGGATGCTCAGTGCAACCCCCTTCTACTCTTCAGTCTCCACCCCCCAGGGCTGCCTGAGGCCCTCCGTCCTCCAAATCCTGGTTCAGGTCCCCTCCCTCCAGCACTGAATGAGGGGAACTTACCCTGTTCACCTTGGGGACCTGTGGGGAGAGAAAAGGGAGCAGTGAGAACTAGGGCAGCTTTCGCTGAGTCACTCAGCAAACACCTGCTTTCCCACTGTGCCAGGTGCTGTGCAGACCCCCAAAGCAGAAATGGTGGAGACAGATGGGATCTATTCTCTAACCTTGTAGGCTCAGCCACAGTATTCAACACAGCAGGGAGGCCACCCACAGTCAACTAGCCAGCACGCTGACTACCCTATCTCCTAGTTACTTTCCTTGTCAATGTCAGCCATGTAGGCGCCCCAGTTCCTTACCCTTTTCCCCCTTCTCTGTCAAGTTCAGAATAGAAAGTCAAGCTCAGGGCTGCCCAGGGGGGTGGCAGCCCTGGCTGCAGCAAGGATCTCAGCCTGCTCACCTGGTGGCCCCATGGGCCCCTTTTGTCCATCCTTGCCTGGAGGTCCTGGAGGCCCAGCAGGGCCAGGGGGTCCCTGCATCCCAGGAGGCCCTGGTGGCCCAGCCTCACCTGCAGGCCCTATGGTGACAAAACTAGGTTGAAGGAGAGCCATAAAAACGAGTTTCCAAAAGACAAGAAAGGTGGTGGATCCAGGGACAGGGTGATGGGGCCCCTTGCTGCCCACGCTGGGTGCCTAGGCGGCAGAGCAGCACCCCACCTCCACCCAGAGGCCTGTCTGAGCCATCAAGGAGGGTGGGTAGCTGGGACCTTGGGTCATCTCTTGTGGACAAGCCAAGCCCAGGGACAGCGGTGGGTATGCGATTCATGCAGAGCAGAGCCAAAAGGAAGTAAACGAGGTTAAGGCTAGGCTGTTGTAGGGTCAGGGGAGGAGAAAGAGAAGACTTGAAAAAGGTCCTGTGCCTCAGCCCCCACCCCAGTGCCTCCTCTTGCCCGCTCACCGGTGAGGTCCTTCAGGCTGAGCTGGTGAAGCTGGTCCTCCAGCAGCAGCAGGGAGCTATTAAGGGTACCCAGCCGCTTGCCCAGGCCGGCCTGCCCCTCCAGCAGCTTCTCCAGCAAGGCTGCCTGTGTCTGGCTGGTGCTGTTGGTTTCCCGTAGCCCAGCCCAGAGCCCAGCCACGTGTCTGGAAAGGCCTTCACGCAGGCCCTGCAGTCCCCCTGCCACTGTGTCCAGCCGCTCACAGACTCCCTCCAGGCGGCCCAGTCGCCCCTCCAGGCTGGGGCACTGGCCGGCCTGTGCCTGTCCCTCCTCCAGGCCTCGGAAGCGCTCCTCACTCTCTGTGGCATGCTCTGTGGCCTCCTGTTGCAGCCTATTGATCTCAGAGATGATGCGGTCCTTTGTGGCTCCCAGGTCAGCCAGATCAGCACCCTGGCCCTCCACGGTGGTCTGCAGCTCATGCAGTGAGTCATTGAGGGAGCTGAAGGTGAGAATGACCTCAGAGAGCTCTCCTTGCAGGGCCTGGAGGGCTGAGCCTGAGCTGCCCCCGAACACACTGAAGCCATCCAGCGGCCCACGGCTGGGTCCCCCGACCCCAGGGCCGGCCCCAGGGCCCCGGGGAGGTAACAGCGGGCAGGAGCAGCGCTCCACGCCATCCCGCAGGCGGCCGAGTTCTTCTTGGACACCTCCGCAGGCGCCACAACCCTCCTCCCCCCGGGCCTGCAGCAGCCCCTCCAGTTGGCCTAGCCGTGCCGCTGTGAGATTCAGCTGCAGTGTGAACTCTGCAGCCGTCTCGCCCAGCGCATCGACACGACCGTGGAGCAGGCCCACCGCCCCTTGCAGTTGCTCCAGCGCAGCCTGCTGGGCCTCCCCAGCTGCTCCCAGCTTGTGCAGGTCTGAGCCCACCAGCCTCAGCTGTCCCTCACTGTCCAGCACCCTGCGCTCCAAGGCACTGAGGATCTCCCTGACCTGGGAGTCCTGCTCCCCGGGGGCCCCAGAGCAGAGCTGCCCACATGCCTGCACTGCCCCTGCCACCTGCTCTTCCAGCTGATTCAGCCGCCCACCCAGCTCCCCGCTCACATTGGCCAGCCGCCCCTCCAGCTTCTCTAGTTTGCCCCGGGCAGCAGGCAGCCAGTGGCCCAGCCCCCCAGGACGCCCCGGCCAGCCCTCCTCCTGTTCCTCCGAGGGGCCCAAGGTAGAGTTGAATCGGTCCTCCAGGCGGGAGAGGCGGGATGCTAAGCTGGTGTAGCCTGGCGGGTGGCCGCCCTGCCCAGATGCTCCTCCCAGGTGGGTGCCTCGCCGCCCGCTCAGCACTGTCACCGAGCCAGCCACAACATCCAGCCTCCGCTCCAGCTCGGCCAGTCGCCGGCCCAGCTCTGGAGGGCAGCATTCCTGAGGGGCCCAGCGGCCCAGGGCCTGCCCCGTGAGGTGCCGCTGCCGCTCTTCCATGGAGGCCAGTAGCTTCTCCAGCGCGCGCAGCCGCTCCCTGTCTTGCTGCTGCTGCCGTCGAAAGCCATCCAGCCCCGCCAGGCACACGGAGCACGACTCCTGCAGCCGCTGTTCCAGCTCCCGCAGCAGCTCCTCGCTGTGGCCGGGAGGGGCCGGGGTCGGGTCCGGAGCCCTGCCGCTGCCGCCGCCGCTGTGATGGTTATTCAGATGGCCCAGCTCCTGGTCGTGGGTGGAGACACGGTTGTCCAGGAGTTGCAGCTGCTGCTGGATCTCATTGAGGGTTTCATGCACACCCGGGCGGGCCGCTGCATCTGCCGGCTGCTGCCTCCCATTAAAGGCCGTCTCCACAGCCCTCTGGACGTCTTCGGTCAGGCGCCCGCTCAGTCCCTGCAGGACACCCCGAAGGCCCTGCAGCTCCTTTGTCAGGCTCTGCACCTGCTCTTCCAGCTGCTGGACCTTCTCGGACTCCCCAGGACCTGGTAGAAAAGGGGAGGGATAAGGCTAAGGGGCTGGACCGCAGAGTTCAGTGCCTACCTCCTAGGGACCTTCTCTCCCCAGCTCCAGCGAGAGGGCAGAGGTCCCAGCTGATTTGGCCATTCCTTAGCTGGGTGACCTGGGCAAGTAAAGATGGAAAGAAAGAAAAAGCAAAACAAAACCCACAAAAAGAAAAGATGGAAAGAAACTCCATTCACTGAATGCCTCTAAGTCAAATATGCACCATGACTCCGCTTTATAACAACTGCATTGCACAAATACCATTGTGTGTTTTAGTCACTCAGTCATGTCCAACTCTTTGCGACCCCACGGACTGTAGCTCGCCAGGCTACTCTGTGCATGGGATTCTCCAGGCAAGAATACTGGAGTGGGTTGCCATTTCCTCCTCCAGGGGATCTTCCCAAACCAGGAATCAAACCCAGGTCTCCCTCATTGCAGGCAGATTCTTTACCATCTGATCCACCAGGGAAGCCCATTAGCTCTTCCCATTTGATAGACTGGGAGATAGAGGACCAGAGAGGTTAATTAACTGGGCCATGAATTACAAGTTTAATATGGTTCCATCATCCAGAATGCCTCCTAACTTTATGGAAACTGTTTCTGCAGTTGAAAAAAAGGAACTGACAATACATCGCTTCCGCAGGGTGAGTGAATGTGAATGTGGGAGGCCCCTCTCTACACCACCACAGGGACAAACACAACTCCAAGGCAAGCTGCAGGGGATCTGGCTGGGTGTTGGAAGAGTCAGTCAGCAGTTCCTGTTTCCATAATTACAGCACGGCTATCTCCCTGGCAGGCAACACAGCACATCCGCAGTGCTGGGCAACGGGGACTGCTGCATTCTGGGACCTGCAGTCTCTAGAGGCCACTGGGGCGCCTGGGACCTGTAGTCAGCTGCAGTGCATGCTAGGACTTGTAGTCCCAAGTGTCTATCCCCTTGGACCAAGCTTCTCCAAGGAATTCCCCCTTCCTCCCGCAGCTGTTCCCAACTAGGAAGTATCTTGGCCACACGTGGGCGTGTGCGAGCACATTCTCTTTCTCTGCCTTCCTTTTCTCTGGGTCTCACTCAATCTCTCTTCTCACACTCACACACACACACACACACACCCCCCCACACACAGACATTCTCTCTCTCTCTTGCTCTCAAGTGTGAAAAGGAACCTCAGGGATCTCATTAACTATCTTCTGTTCTCCGTACTACCCCCCACCCCCGAGCCCCCAGCCCTGTCCTGGAGCAGGGGTCTCCCCATAGCAGCCTGGCCCCATGCTTTTCCCCAGCATTGTCTCCATTCCTCTCCCCAGCAACTCCCATACTCACCTTCCCCTCCCAGTCCACTCAGGTGGCTGCCTGCACTGGAGCCGGAGAGGTTGGGGCGGGCGGGCTGGGGCGGGGGCCGCGGTGTGGTGGGTGCGGGGCCCAGCGCCGGAGCAGGGCCCTCTGCACAGTCATCACCCCCGTACCCCTGGCAGCACCTCCATTCCATATCTGTCACCGTTTTGTAGGCCACACGGTAGCGAGGACGGAGGAAGCTGCGGTACCTGGGAGAGGCGGAGGGAGGCCCCTTATTCCTCCTGTACCGTCAGTGATCCTGGCCCCTGTCCTCAGAGATGGGCCGCTGTTAGTGGGCTAGGTCTGTCCCTCAGGCTGGGTCCCCCTTACTGACCAGCATGTGGCCTTGCTCAGTTGACAGTTGTCAGCCAGTTGGCCAAAGGCCAAATCCCTGTTCTTCCTCCCCTTGTCCTGTGCTGGAGCTTTGAACTCCTCTCCTTGAATGTGGCCAGGCCCAGAAGATGCATTCCCAAGGCTGGCAGGGTGGTCCAAGTGAGTTTGCCCTTGGTATCTCACCAGCCAAAGAGTTGCCTCAGCATCTCCTCAAATGGCTCTCAACAAAGCCCCTGGTCCTGCCCCTACCTACCTGCTTTGTACAGATCTCCCAGGTTGGCGGCCCTAGCCTAGCCCCCACCAAGTACCCATCCTCACATGATGCTGCGGGAACACTGGGGCTGGCCCCAGCCACAGGGCTGGTAGTCGGGCTTGATGAAGGTCTCCACTCCATCCTCAAGGACACAGCTCACAGTCCGGGTCACCACATAGGCACACCAGTTCCTGCAGGCACAACCCCACATGGGTCCCAGCGCCAGAAACACACATCCCGTGGGGAGGCCTAGGGGCTACCAGAGGGGCTAAGAGAGGGTCACAAGATGAAGGGCCTCTGGGGACCAGGGGGAGCCAGGGCTTTGGCAGGGACAGCTCCCCCCCCCCACCCCCCACAACTTCCCTGTAGTAGGAGGCGATAAAGATTTTTCAAGATGGGAACAAGAGGTCCAGAAAGCAAAACCACAACTACGGGATGTTGATCCTCATGTCTGGGGTGCCTGGGGAGCATCTGAATTCACGCATTCATTCATGTCCCTTTCTGTCTCAACCCCCAGCTTGGCATAGCCTGCGTGAGCTGGCTGGCCGGGTTCCCTGGTGATCCCCTGGCTTCTCCTCACCCCTCAGGGGAGTGGTCGGATCAGGCAGGGGTCCAGCTCAGGGTTAAGGAGAGAATAAGCCATTGATGTGCCCTGCCCGCCCTAGGCCTCTCAGTTCTACACTCTTGGCCCCCCCTCTGTACCCCCCCAAAACCAGCCTCCAGTCCATGTCCGCTGGAGAAAGGAAGGGAGCAGAGAAGTGGTGTGGGAAGCATGGGTTACTGCATGGGGCTGAGGGAGCCCTAGCATGGGATGAGGGGTCTGCTGAGACTCCCACGCTGGTGTGGGCTGGCAGTGACAGGAAGGCCTGGCCCGTGGCTCTCAGGATAGTTTCCCTGGGCACCTAACATGGAAGTGATTTCCCCCTGAGGTTAGATGGGGGTGGGGGGGTACCTATCTACTCCAGGGGGCCCTGAAGGAAGGCTGGCATGCGAAGAGCCACCTGGTGGATGGGTTTCCTCTTCCCCCTTCCTTTGCCCTAATGTGGACAGCCCAGAAGAATGTATCCGGAGCCAGGGGCCAGGACACCCACCCTCCCACCTACCTCCAGCCTTGGGCTGAGACCCAGACTCCTACCTGTGGCGGCTGGCAGGTCGGGGGGCACTCTGGGCCTGGGTGCCCCCAGAGCTGAGGGCCCCGCCACTCCCAGTGTAGAGGCTGTAGCCGCGAGGAGGATAGCTGGCTGCCCCCACAGCGGTGGTGAGCAGGCAGCAGAGGTAGCAGCTCCAGAGGGTTCCGGGGGCCATGGTGGGGGCGCTCCGCGGTGGCCCTCAGAGGCACATCCTGGCCTGACCACTGGCGCCTCTGCCTGGAGCGAGGGTGGGGGGGATGCCGCTACTCTGAGGGACAGCAGGTCCTGTCCCCAGCTTCCTGCCGGCAGCCCCCAGCCACACGCCTCCTCCTTGGCTGCCTGGCCTGACCCCTCTCCCCCTTCTCTTTCCTCCTCAGACTCCTGTCTGTCCCTCCTTCGATTCCTTCCGCTCTCCTCTTCTCCACTTCTGAGGGGAGTTTGTTCTCTGTGCCCCCCCCTCACACCCCGGCCTCCTGCGCCTGGTCCCTGGCCCTCTCAGATGCCGCCTCCTGGGCCTCCACCCCCTTGCTCCATCTGGCCCTCCTCTGGTCTCTGCTGTCCGTTTTCCCCAGTGACCAGATCCTGGGGGTGACAGGGCTTTGCCCCTGTGGCTGCTCAGAGGCGCAAGAGTGGCTGTGGGGCGGGCCCTGGCCTCCCGCCTCTCTCTCTCCCTCACTCCCCTCCCTTCCCCCCCTGTCTGGCTGGCGGTCCAGCCTCCCCCTTCCTCCCCCCACCTCTCCAACCATCGTGCGCCACATCTGCTTCTTGTTAACTCCGGGAAAGAGAGAGAGAAAAAAAAAAGGAAAAACAGAGAAATGTGGAGTTGCCGCCGGGCTTGGGGCCAGCCTCTCAGACAGGCCACATGGAGCACAGCCGGGGCCAGAGCTGGGGAGGAGGCCCAGGGAACGGGAGCTGGAGCCACAGCTCTCCCGGGGCCAGGGCAGGGCCCCTCTGGGAGAGGAGACCTAGGAGAGGTGGAGAGGAGAGCTGTAAAAGGGAGAATGAACTTGCAGGGGCTCAACAGAACCGCCACTCACCATCTAGTCCAGCTGCCTCTTTTTATAGATGTGACAATTGAGGCCCAGAATGGGAAAGTAACTTGTCCAAGGTAACACAGCAAGTCAAGAGTATGGCTCAGATTAGAATCTAAATAGTACCCAGGTCAGTGGCTTGGGAGGAAAGAGGAGAGGAGCAAAAGCTACTGGACCATGGAGCAAAAGGAGAAGGACTCCACTGAAGTCAGCAGGAAATTCAGAGAAGCCAGAGGAAGAAAGGAGTCCAGCAATGGAGAGCAGCTTCTATCAGGAATGGAGAGGACATGGGCAAGAGGAGAAAGAATTCATACTCCAAAGGCCAAGTGATCATAGGTGTCAGGCTTGTCTTGGTGAAAGCCATGAGTGGGGGAGGGGAGGTAGGGAGATGAGTTGGGCCCTATCTGTTTAGCCTGAAGGAAGTCACTTCCTATCCTGGAGCCAAGTCTGATAGCCTCTGAGGCAGGCAAGGAAGTTGACTCAACCACCAGCCTGTCCGGCAGGCTCCTCGTGAGATGTTCGAATCCGTCAGCTGGCCCCCCTCACCATCTGGCCCTCAGCATTGGGTTCTGTCCAGGTTTCCCTGCATGGTGGGCCACTTGGGAGACAGAGGCAGAAGTACTAAACTGAAAGCAGGCCAGAGTGCGGGGTGTGGGTGCTGAACGAGGTGCCCAGGGAGCAAAGGCCCACGAAGGACTCAGTAAGGAGCAGCTGGTCCTGTTGGGGGACAGGACACAAGAGAGAACGAACACAGGCTGGACGGACAGAAGGCCAGGGGGCCAGAGAGATGGATGCTGTGCTTGTTAAGAGGAGGAGAAAGACAGCTGACTGCTGTAGGGAGTCAGAGAAGAGCTGTTGGAAGAAAGAGAACCTCTTCTGTGTTGGAGGGAAAAGTGAACCACAGAGACAAGGGGAGGGGAGAGATTTCAGGTTGGCAAAAGCTGTCTATCTCAGTTTCCTCATCTGTAGCATGGGAATAATAGTACTCCCCTCCTTCCTATGTTTGTGAGGATTCAGTTAATCCATGTAAAGCATCTGGAATAGTGCCTGACATGTGGTAAATGCTACATAAGTGTTAGCTCTTCTCTGTGTCAGAAAGTCGATTGTGGAAAAAATCAGAGAGAGGCTCAGAAGACTGGTTAAGAGCTTGGGTTACAAGTTTTTAATATGGGGGCGAATACACACACAGAAAGAAGATATTCTCAGCAAGAGCAATGGACCGGGTGTTAGAGCACAAGAATGCTGGTTCCGGCTTCTCCTCTAAGTAGTGTTATCACTTTGAACGAATCCCCTGACTCCACTGGGGGTCTGCTGTCTGTCTGTCATCTCAGGTCCCTTCCAAATTCTATGTTGCAAAGTGATGCCAGCCTGGGAGAGCAGGTTGTGGCTGCTTGGTGAGTGCCTGGGGAATGAGGGGCCAGATGAAGGGAGAAGATTCCAGGGTTTGAGCCAGGATGGGAAAGTTGAGAAGAGGAGCTGGTTTGAAGGGAAGAAAGATGATCTTAGTTTGGGCATTCCAAGTTTAAGAGGAGAGTAACGAGGCTATGAACTTCCCAGTGGTCATGTATGGTTGTGAGAGCTGGACTGTAATGAAGGCAGAACACTAAAGAATTGATGCCTTTGAACTGTGGTGCTGAAGACTCCTGAAAGTACCTTGGATAGCAAGGAGATCAAACCAGTCAATCTTAAGGGAGATCAACCCTGAATAGTCAATGGAAAGACTAATGCTGAAGCTGAAGCTCCAGTATTTTGGTCATCTGATGTGAACAGACAACTCATTGGAAAAGTCCCTGATGCTGGGAAAGATCAAGGGCAGAAGGGGAGGAGGCCTTCAGAGGATGAGATGGCTGGACAGCATCACCAATGCAATGAACATGAACTTGAGCAAACTCCAGGGGTGAGGGACAGGGAGGCCTGGCATGCTGCAGTCCATGGGGTCGCAAAGAATCGGACATGACTGGGCAACTGAACAACAACCACACATCTTGATGGAAGTAAACATCCAAAGGAGATGGTTAGCAAAGTGGGTCTTGATTCTGAGAATCATTTGCAGGGCAATAGTTGGAAACTATGAGAATGGGTAGGGCTTCCCAGGTGGTGCTGATGGTAAAGAACCCATCTGCCAATGCAAGAGACATAAGAGACACGGTTCGATCCCTGGGTGGGGAAGATCCCCTAGAGGAGGGCATGGCAACCCTCCAATATTCTTGCCTGGAGAATGTCATGGACAGAGGAGCCTGGTGCGTTACAGTCCAAGAAGTTGCAAAAAGTTGGACACGACTGACGTGACTTAGCACACACATGAGAATGGGTGCCACCATGTCAACGTGACTCTGAATGATGCACCCCTGGGGTCCTATGGCCCAGAATACGATCCTGATGACTGGCAGAAATGTTGCCAAAAAGACATGATGGTGAAAGCAAACACTGGAACCACTGGAAATGGAAATCTGTGGCTGTTCCTTAGAGGTGAGCGGCCCAAACCTTGGGAGACTTGAAGGAAATGATCTCTCAGAAGGTCCTGATTTCAAAGTCACTTTCACTGGAAGGCTGCGGCTTTGTCCCTGGTCTCTGCATAAGTTCTAGGCCCTGGCTCTGGCCCTGGTAGGAAGCCAGCTTGCTTCCCCTTCAGCAGCCTCTGGCAACCTGAAGTCATCCCAGCCATCTTGTTACTACCCAGTTGTCACCCATGCCTTTGCCTGACCCCTCAAGTTAAAAAATCTGTTGTAAAAAAAAAATAATTAAAAAATAAAATAAAAAATAAAAAATCTGTTTTATCTTAAGTGTGTCAAGTTAAAAATGCTGGCTTTGAGATATAATGGCAGTAGGTTGCATTTTGTTTAGTCCTGTAATTAGGAGCCAAAATCTAGGACTGACATGAATGTTTATGAGATCGCAAAGAAATCAGTGGCTCTGGGTTCACTGCCGGGGGAGCAGGGGGACAATTCCTGGGTTCACTGGGGAGGCCTGAGGGGTGGGACAAGCCGGCTGCACCGGAGACTAAGTTTTCAGGGAAGGCAGTGGCGGCAGTGGTGGTATTGATAGGCAGCCATAAATTTCCAGAGACTGGCAAGAGAATTCTTGAGACCAAAAAAGGCTAAGCGTCCCTGGGGCACTAGGACAAGGTCTATTTTATAACCACTCCAAGATAGGAAATTGCCAAAGGTCTAGTGCCAATGGGAAATCTTGGCTACAGCAGGGGACTAACTCATTCAGTCAACCATCACTGACAGCGGTGAGCTCCTACATCGGGGCCAGGACAAACAGGGGCATGGGCAGTAAGGAGCGTTTTATGGCTACCCGCCCTCTGTCCAAAGACTGAATGGTGGGAGGAAAAAAGGGGGAATAATATGAACTGCGCCTTGGGTCATACAAATCCAGAGAGGAATTCCAGCTTGTGGGGACTCTTAGGCAAAGGTCCAGTCCGGCACAATTACACACATTTACCTTTTCCTTCCAACCCTTCCCACAGGTGTCATATTTAGGAGCCAACCTCCCTGGACTCAGAACCCAGTCCTCTTTTCCAGGTCTTGTTGCTTTTTCACTCCTGAGCCTAATCCTGACCATGACTTCTTGAAAATGTCACATTAATCACAGAGACCTAGCTCCACATTTCCCCACTCCTTGTCACCCCATCATCTCTCTCCCCTAATTCCCCCCAGGACAAGGCTTCACCTGACTCAGTTCCCTCATGCTTTTTCACCTAAGATTTTTTCAAGATTTGTTAGTTCCTAGCTTAGTCCTGGGCTTCCCGGGTGGTGCTAGCGGTAGAGAACCCGCCTATGCAGGAGACAAAAGAGATGTGGGTTTGATCCCTCGGTCGAGAAGATCTCCTGGAGGAGGGCATGGCAACCCACTCCAGTATTCTTGCCTGGAGATTCCCATGGACAGAGGAGCCTGGCGGGCTACTGTCCATAGCCTCTCAAAGAGTTGGACACGACTAAAGTGGCTTAGCACGCATGCACAGCTTAGTCCTCGAAACCATTCTTATTTATGTATTTTTGGCTGCATTGGATCTTTGTTGCTGCACTCGGGCTTTCTCTAGTTGCGGTGAGCAGAGGCTACTCTTTGTTGTGGTGTGAGGGTTTCTCGTTGTGGTGGCTTCTTAAGGTTACGGAGCATGGGTTCTAGGTGTGTGGGCTTCAGTAGTTGCAGTACACAAGCTCAGTAACTGCGGCACGCAGGCTTAGCTGCCCTGCAGCATGTGAAATCTTACCAGAACAGGGATTGAACCTGTGTCCCCTACACTGGCAGGCAGATTCTTAACCACTGGACCACCAGGGAAGTCCCTGGAGACCATTTTTAACTTGGTTAAAAAGTTCATCCAGGCACTAAGCCAACTGACCCATCCAAGGCTGATTAAGACTCGCTGAACTAGGCACAGGAAGTTCTGGGAGGTGAAGGACATCTCTGGATGATTCTAAAAAACAAATCCTATTCCGCTTGTCCCTGACCCTAGGCCAATCTATTGAGTCTGCTACCTGACAGGGAGTATGGAACAGAGGAGCAGGAATCAGGGGACACTTCTTTAGCCATTTGTAGAAATTTGGTCAAATCAATTACCTTCTGGGCTTCAGTTTCCTGCCTCATAAAATGACCTTGAAGGCCCCCTTCAGCTCTGAGAGTCTAGTTTACTTTGCACCCGGGTCAGCTGGTTTTTTAGGACAGCCTTGAGAAGCTGAAGCACTTCCAAGGTCTTCCCTCATGTTCTTTACAGTCTAGAAAGTGTACTTTCTAGGATCTAGTTCTGTTTCAACAGTAGATCTAAATGTTTGGCTGCACTTGGATCTGCTTTAAATTTCCAGGAGATGCAAAGCATAACGTGTGTAATCCCTTAAGACCCAGACCCTCATTCTCCCAGAGCAGAGATGGGAACAGACTGCTCACTGAGGGACACGTGAGGGAGTGAGTACACGGCTGGGGTTTCACTTTGTTATGTGCAGGGAACATGGGCTTGGGATTCTAAATAGGAAACTTCTGGGAAATACTGGGTGGGGGCTGGGTGATGAGGTAGGGGAGGCCGGGGAACTACAGACTGCTAAAGGCAGAGACGGAGTTTAGGAGTCACTGGGCTGGAGCATGGAAGACAAACTGCTGATGGTCCCAAGTCAGGGAAGCCCACTCCCGGCTAGTGAGTGCACCCTTAGCTCGTTGTGCACACAGGGAGCAAGTCAGCCCCCTCACCCAGCTGTTCCAGCCCCATAGCGGCTCCTGTAGTTTTCTTTGGCTCAGAGAACCAGAGGCGTCCCCTGAGCCCTGGCCCCCCTCTACCGCAAAGCAACTGGCTTCCATTACCCCTGACAGCTCCAGAGCAACAGCCCAGCCCCCGGCCCCAGCCTGGCTTAGTGCCGTTCCCTTTTATGGTGAAGCTGAGGGAAAGCAAGAAGTGAGGGGGAGTAGGTTTGGGCTGGGCAGAGGGTTGTAAAGCCCCGGGCTGCCTCTCCCCTCACGAGAGACCCTCGGACATCTACCCACTGTCATCTTTTTTTCTCCTGGGAGGCCCACTCTGCTTACCACCCACACGACCCCTTTTGCCGCTCCCAGCCAGCCCTTCCTCCTTTCCCCCCTCCCTGACATCCGGGGGGTGATTTCCCACTTGGCCCAAGTCCCACGGTTTGGGTTTTGATTCCAGGAGGGTCCGCCCTATTTCCGACGCCCACCTCTTGGGGTGGGATGGAGGGAGGGAGTCCCACTAAGGGAGGCACCGGTCAGATCACAGGCGGGATCGTTCTATTTGGCGCTTGTGGGGCAGAAATGCTGGCGCGCCAGGGAGAGGGACCCGGCCTCCCCACTCCAGTCCCCATTCTACACCGCCTCTCATCCCTCTCTCCGCCGCCCGGGACAGGGAGGGGACCCTGAGGGCAGGGCGCAAAGGAAGCACCTGGCCGGGCCGGGAAGCGAAGGATGGGCTGCAGCGCGGGGGCCCGGGACAGGAGAGTGGGGGGGCACCGTCTAGGCTCAGGCCGAGCTCCTCGCCCGGCCCCGCCGCCGCACCCTCACTCTAGCCCACTCCTTAGCTCCAGCGAGGTTGCCCTAGGGCCGCTAACCGCGTTCGGGGAAGCGCCAGCTGCAGTCAGCTGCCCCGCGCGGCGTCCAGAGCGCGCGTCCGCCCCGCGACCCACACGGCAGCCCCTCCCTCTTCAGCCCGACTCAAGACCCCGCCCCTCGCGAGCGCGCCGCGGGAGCAGGCGAGAAGCTGAGGCTAGAGAGCCCTTACCGGCCGAGCCTCACAACCGGAAATCCCTGGTTTGGAGCCGAATTGGCGCTGCAAACTTCCGGTTCAGGTTTCCTACCTCAAGATAGACCCCAGACCGCGTCGGAACCGAGCCCAGCTGATCAGGTAAGAGGTACGCAGGCGCGATCCCCGACCCATAGGCGGTGACTGGACCGGGGGTTCAAGGACGGGTCCTGGTTCGGGCGAGGAGTGCGCTGGTCCGCGGCTCAGGCGCTCCTCTTCTCCTCAGCATGATCACGGACGTGCAGCTCGCCATCTTCGCCAACATGCTGGGCGTGTCGCTCTTCCTGCTTGTCGTTCTCTATCACTACGTGGCCGTCAACAATCCCAAGAAGCAGGAATGAGAGTGGCGCTTTCTCTGCCCCAGGTAACGGTCGGGGGCTGTAGCGCGTAGCCTCTGGAGAGTGAGCGGGAAGGCCGCGCCAGGGCCTACAGGGTTCGAGACTTCAAATCGGAACGTATTGGACCAAGCATGATACAGTCCAGAACTGGGCCCCTTTATCCACACAAAGTAGCGAGTGCCCTACCCGCTTCCCCCTTAAACTGCTCCCTCCCAGAACGGGGTGGGTACTGTCAACTCAGTCGCCATCTTCATGTGATTGCCGATTTCCAAATTGATAGTATGGGTGCGAGGAGGTACTGACACCCTAAGGAATAAAGGTAATGACGATGCCATCCAAGTATGAGGATTTGGGCTCTTCACTTAAAATAGTCCTTACTTTTCCACGGTTGTTAGGTCTTTATTTAGGCATAATTTTTTTTGTGAGGGGTTGTAGAAATAGAGAATTCTATTTCAGGGGCACATGGCGCTTATGTTGGGGGTGGCTGCTATAGACCTAAGACATAGATAAGAGTGGGATGGGGGGAGGTTGTTTGAAGGGCTTGTAAACCAACCTGTAACAGTGGGTGAGAACTGTAAGGGGCGGGGGGGAACAGGCTGGATGGGAGTTGATTCTAAAGGATAGCCCCAGAGGAAAACTGCAGCATTTTCCTTACCTCGGGTCTTTCCCCCTCTTTTCTAGGGTTCCAGGACATAGTCTGAGGCAAGATGGAGGGTGTGAGGGGCCTTCACACTTCACTTCATCCCTTCTACCCATCACAACATACAAAGCAACTACACCTGGATTTTTCCAAACAACTTTTATTTCCTCAAAGTCTTCCTTAACCCTGTGGAACAAGAAGCTGCCACTGAATAGGGCCCAGTATAGGGGCTACTTTGTTTTCTACTCCCTCCCCCCAATATAAAAAAATATATATTTTTTTGTGGTCCCAAAATCTTGTGCTGTGGAGGGAGGGAAGGGGTGGCAGGTCCCTGCTCTGTCCTGTCTCAAGGTAATGCTTTGCAATGTCTCAGAACAGTGTGGTGGGTGTTCTAAGAAGTTACATAGAGTTGTCACATGGAATCAGCAGCTGAAAAGGGGAACTAGCACATTTGTCACTGTGTTCCCCACTGTGGGGTCATACCCTGGGCTTGAAGGTCAAGACATCAGACCCGGGGAGAAACAGTGAATGGGGGAGATTTAGGGACAAAACAAACCTCGGTTTGGCCCAAGGGCCCCCCACTATAACAAATCCAAGACTGGGAGTCAGACAGACTACAGGAAATAGGAGAAAAGGCGGGGGCGGAGCGGGGCCGTGGGGGCCCGGCCTGAGGCAGCCTGCAACAGAGAAAAGAGAGGAATCAGGGTTGAAAACTCTGCCTTTCTTCTGGTCTTTTAGCCAGGGGCTGGGACATGAGACAGACAAGATGGGGGAGGCTACGTAGGTTGAGCACTGCACAGTGGTCTGATAGGAGTGCCTGAGGCCCTGACTGGAAGTTGTTCTCTTGTCTGCTGGAGTGAAGACTGAGAGCGTGATGGAAAAAAAGTCAGCGACTGGATTGTTATTGGAGGTACATTTAGTCTTTAGGGGGTCAAAGGGAGAAAGGGAGGAAGAAAATGGTCCTGAATGGCAGAAATGGGAATAAGAGGTGGAATGAGGGGCTGGACACTGGTGCTCACCGTGGTGTGCAGCGGGGTCCCAGCTCCGGCTCACTGCTCTCCTTGGTCTGGGGGATAGGGGATGTGGGGCCCGAAGAGCCTCTCATCCCTCTGCGAGTCGGTGGTGAGCCCTGGGCCAACCTGGGCCTAGCCTGTGTGGACAGGGGGAGGCTAAGAGGCTGGATTCTTCCATGGACGTTTTTGCTTCTAGGTTTCCTTCTAGTTTCCACGTGTATGAATGTAGTATAGGGGTCAGCATGGGTACCAGGACCTTGAGTTCTTGAGCACTATGCCTAGCTGAGAGGGTCAGGCAGGATAATAGCTAAATAACTCTGGTTCAGTCTATGATTATACAGTCCAAGCTTTACTTAACTAGGGGAGGCCAAAGGACCCAGCATTTAACTTTCATGGCTATACCACAGCCAAGATCTGGAGGAGTAGAAAAGCACGATGTGGGAAGATGTTGGAGTATTAGTAGGTCTACTTCAGAGCCTTCATTGCCTCAGCCCCTGCCAGAGCAGCTTAAGCTTCACCCATCCAGGCAGTTTCTGCCTATACCCAACTTCAGTCAGCCTAGTATGGGGATCTGGACTGAATCGGAGTGGGTGGCACAGCTGGTCCTAGGAGCAGCAACCAGATGTGTTACCTGGGGAATCCGGGACCCCTCCTGGCGGGAAGTCTCCTCGGGCAGGTCTGGGCAGAAAGAGAGGAGAAGCTAAGGGCAGGGGCAGGCAAAGCCAAAGCTAGCAGGCTGAGGTGAGGGTATATCTGGCAGGGATGCTGGGATTGGAAGCAAGCAAGAGACCTGGCTGAAGGGGACGGGGGGCACTCGACAGACAGGCATTCAGGCATCAGAGCAGCTCCCTGCTATGGCTGTGGGGCAAGGATGTAAAGCAGTGCTGGGCATTTTCCCTCCCGCTCCCCAGGTGAACAGCGCCTTGCTGGGCTCTGCCAAGAGTTGTTAGCTGGGGGCTGGGGAAGACCCCAAAATGTTACCTGCAGTCGGGTCCTAATGCAGGGGATCCGAGGTCCAGCCCCCAGCAGACCTTTCCCAATCACCATGACGGCCTCTGTCTTGTCTCCTGAAGACAGGAATGAGCAGCTGCTCCCTAGGGAACAAAGGAAACTGGGATCAGGACGGGGCCATGGAGAAGAGGTAACTTTCTTTCCATCTGGGTTTCTCAATACTGGCACTGTTGACATTTTGGGCAGGATTATTCTTTGTTGTGGGGGGCTGCCTTGTGTGTTTCAGGATGTTTAGCAGCATCTCTGGCCTCCACTCAGCAGATAGCATTTCTTCTCCTGCCTCCTCCTCACTGTAACAACCAAAAATTTCTCCAGACATTAGCAAATGTCCACTGTCGTGCAAAACTGCCCCTTGTTCAGAAGCACCACATGCTCTAGTCTGGTCCAAGGAGTGGAATGGCAACTTGGAGCTTGACTTAGAACCCACTCAAGCTGAACTGCTTTGAATTTGTTAGTGTTATCCCAGTTGTGTGTGTAAGCATTTAAGAATCAAGCAGCACCAAGACCGGTGGATTCAGGACTACCCACCGAAGAGAGTTAACAGGTTGGGAGTAGCAGGCTCTAGGGGAGGCAGAAGATGTCAGACTGGAGCCTTAGAAATCATTCCCATCCAGTCTTGTTACATGGCTGGGTCTAGAACTTAAAAGGAAAGCAGATGGTCTAGGCTCTCTATGTGAATGACACGATCCCATAACATGTGTGGTGATGACGGGTGAAAAGGCCTATACTGTTTTCATTCTTCAGTTTTGTCTAATGTTGCCCAGCTCCTGGAGTCAGGGAGTATGAATAAAAGCAGGTAGGAAAAGTCCTCAGGGTCCTCAACTGTAAAAATAAGATTAAATAAGATAATGTGCTTAGAGCAGTGCCTGCCACATAGTAAATGCTCAGTAAGTGGTAACTTATTTTATTATACATTCATAAAATTCCAGCTTCCTATACAAGGGCACTGATGTTAGTTTAGGGATTTAGGATAATCCAGGAGGATAACTGATGGCCCTGGTCTGCAGTGGCCTGCATTAACATGAAGTCAAGAAGGAGGTGCAGGTCACATGGCGGCAGAGCTGGAGGGGTTTCCTCAAGACTAGTCAGGACTCTGGCCTACACCCTGGGAGGTAGGGAAGGAACGGGGTTGACCAACCCAGATTTCAGAGGCAGTGAGTACAGACCTGATATGCTGAGTGAGTTGGGCAGTAGGCAGGAGCCCATGTGTGAAGAGGCTAGGTTAGAACTAGCAGGAGTTGGGGATGGGGCCAGGCTGCTTGAAGTAGGGCGATGGGTCATTGGCTGCTGTCGCCGTCTCCTGTCCTGGCTTCGGGGCTCTGAGTGGAAGGGACACAAGCAGATAAAAAGGCAAATAAGTGAGGTATTGTCACTCCACTGCCCTACTGGCTTTCCCTTGTCAGCAGATGCCTGTTTTCCAGCTTGTTATCACACCAGCATCCCTCTTCTGAAGTAAATCTAAGATGGGTAGAAAGACCTAATAACTTACTCCAGCTTTCCTTGTTCATCCAGCCCTCATCCCACTTCACCTCTGTAGCTAACTAGCTTACTCACACCAGTTCATTCTTAAGTTACTGAGCTTGGCTTTTTCTCTTCCCTCTAAATGCCCCTCTTCAACTACTTGTCCTGCCCCTAAATGCCAGTATCCCTCACCATTCTATCCTCTCCTGCTCTATGTGGTCAAAACTCCTAAGTCTCCCTCTCGCCCTTTTTTCCTGAGCTGCAGTTCTAACTATCTACTGGTTGTTTCTACCTAGCAGTGTCTCATGACCCTTTGCTTCCTTTCCTTCTCCCTATCTTGGTGAAAAATCTGCTAGAAATTTTTGTTTCATCTTTCGACTCCTTCACATTTAGATTTGTTTTTAACCTAAACCTGGACAGCTCTCCCACTGCCTTGAGTTCCCCCTTTATTCACCTTTGCCATTACCAGTGTCCAGAAACAATCTTTATCTGTCATCCAGGCTTTTAAAAAAATATTCTCCACTGGCCTCCCAAGCTTGAGTCTGTTCCCTTTTATAATCCATCCTTCACACCAGGTGCCAGAAATTATTATTCTAAAATACAGACCTGTTCAAAAATCATTTTGGCTCAGACAAGGGGGAGATGCTAAAGGTCTTTTACAGGATAAAGTCCAAATGTTTGAACATGGCATTCAAAGCCCCACCTACTGTCGGTCCAGTCTACACACCCTCAGTAGGATGCTGACTTGATCCTCTGCTATAGCTTCTGTGGCTACTGGCTCTGCTGTTCCTCTGCAATGCCTGTTTCTTCTTCCAGTGAACTCTGGACATCTTAAATGTCCCATCTCAAATGTCACCTCTATGAAAGCCTCCCTGACCATTAACAGTAAAATTAATTGTTCTTTCTTCAGTTGTTCTTTGTTCCCTCGGCAAGTAACTGTTTATGGTTTCTGTCTCCTTAACTAAATGTTAGTATATGTAAAGTACTTATAATAGTGCCTGGCACATATGTTAGCTAATGTCCTGATTGAAACTTTGAGTTTCTTGAGGGTAGGGACCTGGTGTTTTTCAACACTATATCTCAGGGCCTGTAAAGTACTGCCTGGAAAAACAAAAACCGTAAAGATTTTGTTTGCCTGGAGAGCAGACACCCACTGCAGATCATGAGTTGACTCAACAGTCCCTGTCTAAGGGCATATGGTTATACTCTTATGGGGCAACTCTCTTGGTCCCTTCTTTGTGGCTAGAGCCTCACTGCTACAGATTCTGAAAGGTGGGGTCCCAGTTGGGTGGATGGTGATGAAAAGCGGCAGGGAGGTGCTGAGGCATGGCAGGTCTGTCCTTATCATAGGGGGACAGCAGGCTCCAAATGTTCTCAACCAAATAAGCCATTAACTTCTGTGGAGCGGAATTTGATGCTGGTTACAGGATGCCAGCTGACTTCTGACAAAGCAACATGTGTTACATGTAAAAAGCCTCATCTAAAAAGTAGGAAGTAGGTAACAGGATTTTTATCTTGTCGAACTACACTAGCAGTGACAAGGGTACTTCTGGAATGTTCCCAAACCAAATTTTAAAAAACTGATACTTGTATGAAAAAGGACGAGAAAAAAGGGAGAGATCTCAGAAGGAAGCTACTCTAGCTTTGAGGAGGTTGCCGAGATGCTGGGTACTAATTAGAGTATAAGACCACAGACAGGAATCAAAAACAACCAGACCTTAGGGGGCTAGTAAGAGTTGGCACAGTGATGCTAACAAAACAACTGAAGCCAGAGACTCATGGCCACAGTCAAATAACTTAGAACATTATCCACCACCAAAGACTCAGAGGTACTGCAGAGCCTAGACCTTGGTTGTGGCTTCAGTCAAAACAGGGATGTCAAAAAAAACCCAAAAAACAGGGATATCAAGATGCTGTCAAGTGACCATACACTCAAGTCACTTCAAGTAATGAACTTTATGACAGAGGGAGAAACAGCAGGAAATAGATAATCTGAGAAGTATCTATACACAGAAGGATGCTGGAACCATGTTAGGGGATGAAATTTCACCCTACCCCAAGAAAGGATAAAAGAGTGCAAGCAAAAGAGTGAAGGCCTCTGGGACGTTTGTAGGTTCCAATAAGGAACCAAGTGACACTCAAGAAGATACAAAGCAAAATGGGCAAATGATATAAAAAATGCCAAGTAAAATGTAGGGATCAAGGGAGAGATATTAAGAATGCATCTCTGGAATCCTGCCACTAAAGAGAGAGACAAGTTTGCTTTAGGAGAGGCCTGATCTAAAAAATGGGAGGCATTTAAAGGTAGCACGTCATCACTTAAAAGCCTGTCTTAAGATGTGGCGGGGCCTGCCTGTAAATTTGGCAGTGTAAGCACACAGCCCAGCTTATGTTTTGACTTCTGGGCCCTGGGGTCATCCAGGCTTATCCAGTCTCATTGTGACAAGAATTAAAGGGAGGAGCTCCAACTCCAACTTGGTTCTAAACTAGAAATGGCCGCTTAAGGCTGAGCGCAAGTGGTGATGGGACCAGCTGCGCATCTGTGATCAGTTCCGAGAGGGTGCAGCGTGGTCATCAGCCCCAAGGTTCCATCTGGGTCAGTCCTGGGCAGAGGCCCAAGACGCAGAACTAGACTGCCTTCACCATCGTGTGAGTCAGAATGGATACTCTGAGGGCTCACAATTCTGGAGCAGTTGTGTACCCTGTGCTTAGGTCCAACATCATCCCCACTTTCCCCAGACATCTTTAGAACTGTTCCTCCAAGTAGCACTCAGGTCTCACTGGATCCCTAGGATGATCACAGATGTGATTTATGTCCTTTGAGGGGTGGATAGGCAGACAAGCCTCCATTCACCTCCCAGCTTCTTGCCTTTATTTTGTTCAACAAATATTTGGAAATCATTTATTAAGTGCCAAGCGTGTTGCTAGGTGATAAGGGAATGAACAGATGTGTTAGGAAATGTTTCCTGCCATCAGATAAGTTTTAGTCTAAGGGCATATGGCTATTTTACATGAAACTTTTGTTTTCATGGGAAAAGGTAAAAGTGGTGATGGAGCTGGAGGCTTCCTATGTCCTTTGACTCACTTCTCAAAGGAACCTCTACTCATCATCGGCCTTGAGGTGCTCCACCAAAAGCTGCCAGCCAGCTGAGACAAGGCATCACGGAGGCCAGGAAAGAGTTCTGGTAATCTCAGCTTTAAGTGCCAGAGCTGGGATGGATTAGAGTGGCCGTGGTAGGCTGATGGTTGAAGGCTCCCTGCTTTACTCTCAAGTCCCTGCCTGGTCTTTACACCAGTAGCCTGCTGTGTAGGCTGGAAGGGGAGTGCCTCGGGTGCAGTTTAGGGAGGTCCAAGTCCTTGCCTGATCCTGAGCGCAAGTGCCTTCTTCAGTCATGTGTCCTGGGCACCTCGCTGGTGTCTCTCCACCCCCAGCCCCCGAGTCTTGTTTTCATGAATGCACAGCCAACAGGAGGAGTAGCTCGTTTACTCTCCACCCTCTACCCAGCAGGTCCTCCTCTGAACTGTCTGCATCCACTTTCACACCACTTAACTGCCCACTTTAGCAATGGCATTCGCTATTCCCCAGTGATTCTGGCACTACAGCCAGGGGAGTGCTGGGAGGCAAGGCCTACTCAGGCTCTTCCGGCCTCCTGCCCCTGCAACATTTCTATTCACCCCAAGTTGGCTACTTTTTGGCTTCTAAAATGTCATCCCCCAGCCTCTGAGGACAGACCCAGCCAGACTAGTTAGTTCTCTGAGGCCCTGCCTTGAGCTGCTAACTAGGATACCTAAAACTTATCTGAAGTTTTCTGGATAGCCCAACCTCATGTTCTGTTCTAGCCAATAAAGGACTGCCATTAACTAACCTACAGTTACATGGGATATCATTTTTTATGCATTAGTGGGAATTTTCCTAAAAATAAGTTCGTAAGTTAAAAAAAAAAACAACAAACCTTCAGCAATCCCAGTTTGGGGATTTGGAAGGTGTATTTACAGATGCTTTTTAGTTAGATCTCAGAGAGATGAGGGTCGTGGTTTTCTTATCTTGGAAGACAAAGGATGCCTAGATGTGGTGAGGGCCCAGGAGCCAGGTGTGTGGAACCAGGAGATGTCACAAAGCTACAGCACAGGACAAAAGTTTTCCCAAGGTGAATTAAGATGCCAAGTCCAGTACCACATTATGCATCAGAGGTCCCTATCCCAAGCCAAGGCCAGTCTCCCATCCTGGAGTCTTATCAGAGACTTTGAGATGGAAGTGGCAAAAACTGGAGCACCAGCAAATGCTCAGAACACAGGAGTCAAGATCCCTGGGTCTGCTCTTTCAGCACCTTACAGTATTCCTGTCTGGCATTATTAGGAACCTTCCTGACCTCTTGAATTCAGAGATAGTTTCTTGTTCTTACAAATATTTATGCAAGTCCACAGGGTGTCCTGATTCTCAGACCAGCTCTCTTTCTGCTTCTAAGCTCATTTACCTGGGAATATAGCTTCTCACTTGGTTTCACCTGCACCTGTATGTGGAGGATTCTTATATACAACTTTGATGTCACCTTTCTTCAGAAACCTTCAGAAAAAGGTTTCTGCCTATGAAAGTGAAAGACACTCAGTTGTGTCTGACTCTTTACAACCCCATGGACTACATAGTCCATAGAATTCTGCAGGCTAGAATACTGGAGTGGGTAGCCATTCCCTTCTCCAGGGGATCTTCCAAACCCAGGGATCAAACCCAGGTCTCCTGCATTGCGGGCAGATTCTTTACCAGCTGAGCCACTAGGGAAGCCCTTTTCTGCCTGTAGGCCATCTCCATATAGCTAGCTCATGATATCCAAGCATGTCTAAAATAGATAAACTCAGCACTCTTCTTCAGACAATGTCTTAATGTGATCATGACATACTCCTTTAGCTTGTAACCATGAAGCTCTCTCACTCTTTCTCTTCCACCACCACTGAATCCCTCCACTTGTTTCTATTATATACCTTCATAGACCCTGGTACAGGCACTTGTCATCTCATGTATAAACTACTGCAAAGACCCCATCTCCCATCCCTGCCTGATTTCTATATAAACAGTTCACAGAGAGCTCGCTTAAGCAGATCTTTTGTTCCCATCATGAGAAACACAGTCACTGCCATATGTCTTGTTAACCCATATGTCTTTTGTTTTCAAGACATTTCGGCTTCTTCCTCCCACCTTTCTTCCTGATTTCCATAGGGAAGGGTCTGCTCTTCGAATCAGCTAGTGTGCCTGCTTGTCATCCTCTCTACACATAGCGCTGGTCCTGGCTATCACTCTCATCTCTGGAGTGTTCTTGTTAAACTATAAACCACACCCATTCCTCAAAACCACTTCTCAACTGATCATCCTTTGGGTGATGACTCTTGTGTTTATACACAACAGTGGCCTCCGAGTTCCCCGCTTACAGTGCACTTTTCTGCTGTGTTTACAGCCCTGTGTCCCTTATGAAGTTTCCAGTCAGTCCACCAGGAATTACTTTGTACTGACTGTGCCTATTATCTATTAGTTATCTGGGGAAGTAACAAAGAAACAGAATACATGTTTCTCACTCAAGGAGCTTAATACAGCAGTCTACATTGGGGTGGCGGGGTGGGTGGAGCAGGGAAGATGTTAATAAAATATTGACTAAAAACTGCCCAGAATCCTTCAGTGACGACCTAGAAAAGGCTCTTTACTGTTTCCTTTTGTAGTCAGGAAAGATTTATGGTGCTCATATTCCTATGTGTTAAGAGAAAAAGAAATTAAAAGAAGAAAAAATATCCAGATTTAGGATAGGAAATTCAACTATGCCAGAACGCAAAAAGACATAAGTTTGAATAACTGCCACTTAATAGCTGTGCAACCTTGGGCCAGTTAACCTTCAGCACCCTCAGCTTCCTCATCAGAAAAATGGAAATACCACCTATCTTCAGGGTCCTTGTAAGGATTAAATGAAATAAATATGCGGTACTATTTTGTTCACTGTTTAATGCTATTTAAATATAACGCATTATTACTGCTTTAATACTCGAAAACAGTGTACAAGTGTCCTTTCTCAGTCAAGACAGACTCTCTGAGTGGGGCTTGGAACCTAAGCAGAGGTAATTATGGGGTCTGCCAGGGACAACATCTTATTGGTCAAAGCTGGTGAGGACCACCTCTCTCTCCCCTGTGGCCGCTCTAATTAGCAGTCATTTCCACAGCCACTGACGCCAGGGCAAGTTTCTGCTCTGCACCAAAAGCTTTGTTGCAAGCTGAGCAGCTAGGAAGTGCTGACAAGGACAAGTGCAGCTTGAAGACCAGCAAAGCTGAGTTCTAGTGTATAAACCTCTATACTCTGGCCAGACTGCCGTAGCCCAGAAGCCACGTACTATGTTGATTTCTGATCTAGTGTTATTTCCAGGAATACCACTGCAATAGTCACTCTACTCCAGTCCAGGTCACTCCCAAAGAACAGCTTTGAAGTCCCTTTCTCTTCTTTTTCCCTAAAGGCCCACCTGTTTCTGGTCAAGTAGGGTCTTATTGGCCAAACCTAGGGGCACAGTTGAGGGACTGTGGCTACCGCTGGAAGGGGCTGGACTGTGAGCCTAGTATAGAAGCTGTCTGTAGTTGTTCGATGTTTCTTTGGAAAAGCTAGCATCCTTCTAACACTTTCTGAACAGGCTCTGAAGCCAGGAACAAATTCAGCTGTAGAGACCCTGGGTAGGATTCACCATCTCTGCATGGTGCTGCGACTGACTGTGAGGAAACCTCCTTATCCTTCCTGCTCCCAAGACTGACCGACCCCGTCCTTGACGTGGAGGCTCCATGTCTCAGCATGACCCTGCTCTAGCCAGTGAGTCTTCCTTGGGCACTTCCTGCCTCCCAGCAGTTGCTGAAACCCAAGACCCTGGACTCCCGCCTCTGCCACACATGTACCGTCTGGAGCTCGTGCCGCAGGGAACACCAAGGTCGCAGAAGAGGCTACAGATTCTGCTACAAACTAATTTTATTGATTCACCCCTTGGTCCCAGGCTGAGTGTGCATCTTCAAGCTCTCACTTCCCCCAGCAATGCCCCAAACAACCGAACACCTGTTGCAGGGGCTCCCAGACTAGCTTACCTCTGACGGGGCCCAGCACCCGGTGGCTGACCTTTTGGGTGCTAGAGCCCAGGCCTGGCAGCCCCACAGGCCGGCTGCCATGAAAAGGAAAGCTGGGGGAGTTCTTCATCTGTGGAGAATTTTGTTGGCTGCTGCTGCTACCACCAGCACTTGTGCCAGTACTAAAACTTCGTGCGCGGCTCAAGGTGTTTTCAGAGCAGGAAACAGGCAGTCCGCTGCAAGAAGCAGACACCAGTTAATCCTGGGCCAGGAGGCTGTCTTGCACTGTCTTCCCTGGTCTGATGCCCAGTACAGTGTCACCTCTGGGGTGAAAAGGCTCAGGGACTTATTCCGAGGTGGCAGGGAGGAATCTGTGTCCACGGATAAGGAATCTAACCTGGGGCATCTCAAGCTGCCTGGGGGCCCTTGTTCACACGTGCACGCTCCTGCTGAGAATATACTAAGAGCCATGTGGGCTGGCCCTGGGCAGCTTTAACTCCCAGTGAGGTTCCCGTTGTCACCCTGCTGCTGCCCTGGCCCCTCAGACATTCACAACCACGGGAAGGTGAGACCCACCTCTGGGGACCCCCACCCTAGTTCTACTCTTTTTTGTGCAGAGCTCTGGAGCAGGGAATCCCCTAAACCTACTTTTCCAACATCTTGGAAGTATGTAGTACTCCGTAAATGGGAAGAGGATCCCATTCTCTGAAAAATGCACTAACCTTCCTAATCTGAATTCACCCTGGAAACATTCACCATGTGGTTCTTTTGGAAGTTGGGAATCCCACAAATCCCTTGGAACTCTTTGCTCTAGAGCCCTGTTCCAGTGCCCCAGCCTCTCCCTCCCCGATGCTCGTCTTACTTGTTACTCCTGGGTGGAGTTCGAGAGCCTCTCTTCTTGCTGATGCCCATGTTCACAGTGGTGCTCAGGCCTCGGCTGCTGCGCACGTGTTTCAGCATCCAGGCCCGGAGGTTTGTTAGGCTGCTGTGCTCCGACAGCACGATTCGGGGCCACGGGTTGCACTCCGCCATGTCCAGAGCTGCAATGGCCATAGCTCGTCCCACCTGTGGGGAGTCCGGTTTGGCTCAGTGTCTTGGTCTTCCAACCCCAGGAAGCTGTTTCCATTCATGGGTGCTGTGTTGGCTTGGGGTGCACAGCCCAGTGGAAGGGAAGGAGAGGCTGGCCTCACATTTGCTCAATGACTCTGTCAACTGTGGTGCTCAGGCTCTTTACTGCAAAGTGGATTTAGGGCTGTCCCCTAGACTGCTTCCCGTCTGGGGCCCTCGTCCATTATGAGCAGGGGCAGGTGGGCTTTCGGGATTGGCCCAGGCAGGAGTTCTACCAGCAGGAGAAGGCACTGGGATCTCTTCTATAACCCAGTTCTTTCTGTTCCATTCATGTGACCCAGGACACCGGGATCATCAGGACCTCTGTAGAGGGCGTGCTTTGAACTCAGTAGGGAATTAATCCAATAGAAGGGGGAAGATAAGCTCACAGGCAAAGAATGTGACTCAGCTGTGCTAGGAGAGTCTCTATGGCAGGGCTGGGGGTCAGAGTAGTGCCCATTCATCCCCTCGATACCTTTACAGTCAGAGGCCTGGTGCCTATTAACTGAGGAAAATCACCACCATGGTTGAGAGGTGAGACGGCGACAATGGTGAGCCTTGCCTCAGACGACCTGAGAGTCAGGTGGCAGAGGTGAAGGCCTTTCCAGACTTTGAGGTTCCCCTTTCCCCACTCATCCCCTGCATTCATACCTGCTCAAACAGTTCCACAGTGTATCTGGAGGGGAAGGCCGGCGGGGGAGGGGGGCTGGCACGCCCATTGTCATGGCAGGCGGCAGGGATGCTGTTTACTGAGCGTCCAGTGTTGTAGTTGCATTCAAGTGTGTAGCTAAGACACGGAGACCTTTATCAGACAGAATCTGGACAGAACCATGGGGGACAGACTAGGTGGTCTACGAGATAATCAGCTGGGGTAGAGTGTGCACAAATAGAAAGGGCTGATCCCCAGCAACTAGCAACTGACCCTGGCACTTTATCACAGAAGAAAGGTCCCCCAAAAGGTACTGTCCCAGACTTAAAGACAACACCACAAACTGTGAATCTGTCCTTTGGGAAGACTTCATCCATCCCCTGCCCCTCATACACCCTACACTGGGTTATTGTTTTCTTTGGGCAGCTATTTCGTCCACTGTATCTCAGTTTCCACCCAACCTGTGGATTATCCCTGAGGCTTTGTAGATTGCAACCCGGCCGCTTCCCTCTTTAGACTGGCCATCTCTGCGGTCTCGGGCATACATGTTCTTCTCTGAGAAATTGCAGCCCTGGAAGTCAAAGTGGGCTGAGTTCAAGGAGATGAGCTTTGGATACAGCATATTTTCCACCTGTTTGGGTGAGGAAAAAGGCAACTCAGAAGGAGAGACAGAGAGAAAGAAAGGATGGGGCAAGGAAGAGATGCCTAGTGTGGGGTCATGTGCCTTCACACATCAGACAGACACCTTCAGAACCATCAGCAGTAGTCAGCATTGCTTACATCCTCACTGAATGTTTGACAATATTTCTAGGTGTTGGGAAGGTATGATTCTACCTCTTTTTAAGCCCTTCTCTCTGATAATATAAAATTCTCCTTCTCCCCTGGTGTTCCAAACTCTAGAAAACCTACGATGCTAGTAGCTTGATCTTTCAGAGGTCATGATGTAACACAATGAGGTGCTGCCCCTTCTTGGCCCCTGGAGCTCACTCAGAATAAGCTGCCTCTTGCCAGCCCCACGCCTTCCTGCCAGAAGGCCCTCTTCCCTCCGTTCATGGCCTGACCTTCATCTCCTGACTTGCAACACTCCCCACACTCACATGACGTTCTGCAGATTCCCACCTGGGTGTTCTCGTCACTAAAGCTGTTTCCATACATGAAGCAGCCCCTTTTGGAAGCATGTCCGTGCAGGTCCACGTAGTAAGCAACACCGCTCTCTCTGGGGGGGATGGCATCGGGGGCCAGCTGCTCCACCTCAGCTGACTCCTGTGGCATAATCCACACGCTGTTGGACTTCTGCTCGGCTGCCTCAGTCTGTGTCCATGCCTCAGGTTTATCCCCACTGGACGAGCGCCCAAGGTGAGCTCTGTTTTGGAGACTGTCAGCTTTCTCAGGGTCAGAGAGGGGAGCATCAGGAGGGAGATGGGAACTGTGCTGGTGCTCAGAGAGACTCTGGGAGTTCAAACGGGAGTGCACGTGGTGGTAGAGAAGCACAGCTTTAGCCCCATAAATGGCCGGATGTAGGACTGCATCAGGCTTCAGGTACTGACGGTTCAGATTCACTCCACGTGAGTCTGTGCTGTAGGGAGACAAGGACCAAAGCAGGGGCTTGAGGGCTGGTCCAGCAAAGGAGACACATGGCAGATGGAAACTGATTTATGAAACGAGAGGCTGAAGCTGCAACAGGAAAGACAGAACTGACGTTGGCCCTCTCCCTGGTCAGCTGTTATCCCTCCTACAGAAATCTAAAAGATAGCTCCCTCTACCCAGATGGACCTCTGGGTATGCTGGCTTTACTCCCCTAGAAAGTGACACTGGATGGGATCATATTTGTTCTCGGCTCACCGGATGATCACAGAGACTTGCCTGTGTTAGGGTGCAAGAGGACTGGGAACACAGACACTAGATATGAGGCTAACAGCTGCCACTGAGATGCAGGTTATGAGGGGACGGGACAATTCATGTGGCTGGGCATGCTTCTTACCGGTAGTGACCCCGGACGACCCCATCGGGGTTCAACATAGGAATCAGCTTAAAAACAAACAGGCGACGTAGGGTTTGGGCCCGGGGGTCGTCAGGTCGAAGAATGAAGTCCAGAAAACCGTTGAAGACAAAGCTAGATGGAGTCTCCCCGGGGTGTACCCTACTGCTTAAGAAGAATATCTGAGGTGAAGAGGAGAGCAGTTATTAGGTCATTTGCTCTACATTCCAGGGTAACCATGTGGGGATGGCGGTGGGACGAGGTGGAAACAGCCATTGGATTTCCAGCTGGTTGAGTATGCAACTGGAGTAGGAGCTGTTACACCTGCCTAAGAACACAGGCTGAGGTCATGTCCACGGGGCCAAGGGATAATATGAGCTCAACCTACCAGCGGTGCCCGGGGCTGGGCCAAGGCCAGGGTACTACCTTTATGCTATTTCTACTCACTCTCTTGCCTGTGAAACGGAATGGTCGGGGGGTGCTGGCATCAGGAAATAGCTGCTCTAGACGGGGCTCTCGATCTTCTCGAAGCCCATGGCAGGAACTGATCGTCAGTAGATCTACACGAAGTCCATCCAGAGAATAGCAGAGGGTCTCCCGGTGGTAATAGATGGTATCCAGAGGGCTGGAGGTGTAAAAGTCATTAAGCCAGAAGTCCCTGAAGTCCTACCAACCAGTGGGCATGGTCACCAGCCCAGGATTTGTAGGATCTGGTCCTTCACCCTAACCTTTGGGGCCTTCTAGTCCCTCACAGTGTTAAATGAGCCTGAGGATTTGGGTTGGGTCTACACTGTCAGAATGCAGGGAACAGGACGGGATGAAGTTAAGGTTTTATTCCCCAGTTTATGGTGCCCTAAGATAGACTACTTTGCATAGACACAGAGAGGTGGCCTCTCTTGGGGCAGGAAAAAACAAATGTGTGCTGAGCAGTGGCAGTGCTGGCTAAATTCTGGGTGACTGATGGGAGCTAGGATATTAAGAGACTTGAAGTAAGCAGGTGATGAGTGGATGGTGGGATGTCAAGATCACACAGAAACATTTGTCAGGGATACCCGAAGTCCCACATGCTGTACAGAGGAAAGGACAGATGAGGTTTGGGGTCAGGGCTCTGAGGGCAAGTTCCAGGAGTAGCAGAGGTGCTCTGCGGTCCAGGACTATGTGACAGGAATAAGAATGGGGTTGGCACCTGCTATGGGTAGGGTTGTTCTCCAGAAAGCGCTGGTCTAGCTGGTTTAGCAAGTCCTGGCAGTCACTGTAGGAGAACGGGTAGCAGAAGGCGAAGAAGGTGGTGGCTCCACGGCCTTCCACGAAACGGTGAACGAAGGATAACACAAACTGCGTCTCTGTCATCTGAGGAGCAGTGGAGGAAGAGGAAGGGGCAACACACCATTGGTGTCAGAACTAAGAGCCTACTGGTTGACCAGCAGGAGCTGACCTCACACCCTCGTCGCTTTTACCAACACCCCTCCCTCTGTGATACCCCGTGACAACCAGCTCCTTCTGGGCTTCCCGAGGCAGGGGCTTATCTCAGACTCCAGCTGGCACCAGAGGGACCCAAGTCTGTCTTTCCTCCTCATGGAAAATTTACCTCAAAGGTAGGCCGGTCTCGAATGCGTTCCCAGCGTGGCCGAGTGGGCAATGTACGCACAAAGGGAGCCATGCCCTGGGAATACAGCTTGCTTTGCTTGTTCATGTTCATGATGTTGATCTTGATGAGTTTCCCTGGAGTTCCTCCTCGGACGCTGAAGTAGAACCATGACCTGAGGGCCAGAGTAGGAGAGACACATCATTCTACACAGGAGGGTTGGAGAGGGGCTATGGGGCGGGGGGGCGGGACTGGAGCAAGCCAAACCGGGAAAGGGCTACTAGGTAGAGAATGAGGAGGGGGATGGGGTGGGAGAGGAAGGATGGTGTGCTGGCACGAACTCTCAAACAGCTAACAGAAGTAGGTTCGTGTGGCCTGCCTCTCTTCCTTCTCCCACCCTCCATTACTTTCTTCTTACCTGTTCCCATTCTCAAATTCCGTTTCAGCACAGTCCGGTCGGGTCCACACATTGAATTCATAGTCAGGGGAAGAGGCAATGCTGCTAGTGGAGGCTGAGGCCCCACCTGCTACTCCTTCCCCATCATTAGACACAGATTCCACCTTCTCCACATGGGCTAGGTTCCCTGAATCAAAGCGAGAACTGAACAGCAATCCCCCACAGCGCAGCTCCATGGTGGGGCTGGGAAAGCATCCTCCTGCACCACTCAGGCCCTGAGAGCTTGGAAAAACATGGGGTAGGGAGGAGAGGGAAGAAAAATGAAAACGTGTTCTTTGGGTATCACTGCGTAAATGAGAGCTCCTCTAAGGGAGTACCATAAGAAGAGGCTCTCTTCCCCCTTTAAAAAAGGTACATGTGGCCTTCCAGCAAAGGCCAAGAATAAGCAAAATTTCTGTCCCCACACTAAGGGTTGTAACTGACCTCAAAGGACCCTATTTTACCACAGTGTGGCTATTCCAAAATGAAATACTCAATGACTTAAGTATGTCGAGAAACACTAGACTCTAAGCTGCTTTGCAGCCCAAAGATGAGAGAAGATAGAGAGGTCCAACTGCCCAATCTAGCCATGATACACCAACTACAACATAACGCCAGCTTGAAAGATGGGCCATTCTGGATCTCCGGTTCCTAGACTGGCTCCCTGCTCTGGAGAAGAGCAGAAAGGAGAGAACCAAGTTTCTAACTTGAGATGGACAGCTCTCTCTCTCCACCCCTCTGCTTTCACAAGTACTGACCCGGCATTCTGCTGCTGCTCCCTGAGCCCTGGAAGGGCTGGTACTTTTTATTTTTCTTAATTACCCCATGCCTATTAATTATGAAAGAAAACTAGACATGTGGCCTATGCCAAGCCAAAGTTAACTGGGCAGAAGCCACCTGCTCACATGGAGACTGCAGCTTAATCCCCCTAAAGGTACAAGTCTATTCCACACCGCCCCCCTAAGCACTGAGGCCCCTGAAAAAGCTACCCTGGTAGTTGTGGGTGAGTAATGAGTAGTCTGAGCATCTCTAGACAAAAGTGGCCCATAGAGACCTACTTCGGGACGGGGGATGGCTTCTCGACCCACGACTCCGAAGGACCCTCACACCAGGACCGAGCTTGCCCCGGCTTGTTGGCTTGGGATGGGTAGGGGCGGACTTGAGGCTAACAAGGCAGGGCGTAGGGGTCAGAGGTGAGGCCACAGGAGTTGGGGTGGGGCGGGACCAGCCCGGGCGAGGGGCGGGGTGGCCCAGCCACCCCAGCCGGGTGGGCTTCCAGAGGGGCTGCGGGCCGTCGAGGGCTGAGAAGGGGGCGGGGCCGGGGCCCGCACTCCACGCAGAGCCCCTCACCTCTCTCCGGGCCGGTGATCCCGCTCCCTCTCCCGCTAGCGAGGCGCCACCTGGGCCCCGGCACCCGGGCCCTCCACCCAGGACCCAAACAAAACCCGAGCGCCGCGGTGCCGGGACCCCGCTCTGCCAGGAAACAAGAAGTCTCACGCCCATTGGCCGCGGGCACAGCTGGCTACCCGCCCAGTAAGGCGCGCTGCCATTGGTCAGCACACCGGGGTTCCCTCGCACGTTTAGCGGGTACCTGAGCCGGGGCTGTTTGCTGGCTCGACCTGCAGGCGCGGCGGGAGGATTCCACCCGCGCCTTCTCGGAAGACGGTTAACGGCCTTGCTACCGGGAGGAGAAAAAGGCAGTGATCAAAAAGGACCCTGGAAAAGACTCACCTGCAAAATAAAAGGGCCGCGTGTGAAGCTGATCATTGCCTACCGTACTCCTTTGTGTATTACAAAACACCCACAAGCTTCAGTCACTCGCGGTTGGGGAAGTCTTCCAATGCATGGGGCAAAAACCGAGTGGAGGATGCGGGCATCGATCCCGCTACCTCTCGCATGCTAAGCGAGCGCTCTACCATTTGAGCTAATCCCCCAGCTGCTTTTGGCTGCTTTCCTTTTGCCTTACAGGTTGTTCTGCGGTGTCCGCTGACCAGTGGACCCGCCGCGGTTGGGGAAATTAATTTGGCTTAGCACTGAGTGCAGTGGGACCGCGGACCGGATTTTTAAAAGCAGGCATATAATAATTATACATAAGCAATAATAAACCTAATTTAAAAGCACAGATTAGCACTCCTTTGCATGTAACCCACAAGACCGCATAACCATACCTCGAGTGTTTACCGTATATATCTTTCAAGGAACACAGGCAGTGCGCAAACTCAGTGGGTTTCTAGGTAAGCTTTTCTCTTGCGAGGAAGAGAAGGTTAAAAAGAGCGCACGAAGTCCTTCGAGCCGGAATCGAACCAGCGACCTAAGGATTGCCACAGTTCATTCACTACAGTCCTCCGCTCTACCAACTGAGCTATCGAAGGCCTCGCTGCTAGTGGCGGCTGCCGCTGTCCCTCTAATACTTACCAAAGCCACACTCCAGGGTCTCAAAAGCTTTGAGGAGCCCACCTTCTAAAGAAGTTCTTCCAGGCTGCACAAAACAGAGGAACCTGGAGACAGAAATGCGAGCAAAGAACGCTGCCAAAGGACCCGCTTTCCAGCCTGGACCAAGGAAACACAGACCACACAGGTCCCTTCCGTTTCCGTGCTTTTTACAAAACGGCAGCCCCCGACCCTCCACCCGCGGTGGCTTCTACAGGACTGCGGACGCTAAGAGACCCGGCCCCCGACCCTGACTTCTGCTCCTGATTTCTCCAGCCTGGCCAGCATGCCCACTTGCTCTACTCTCGTCAGGCGCCGGCCGGGTTTGCAAAGCCGAAGGCTTACGTTAGTTATTTCCGCTTCTTGTTTCCCTCCGCTGTCTCCGCGGGCGCCAATATAGTCCTACTTTCCTCCTGATAGGAAGGACATTCATTCAATCAATTAACCCGTGTTTGTCGGGATCCTTTCCTCCTAAGAGCAAGAAAGATACAAAGCTGCTGGAGCTCCACGGAGCTGCTGGAGGCGAGCGGGGCCAGGGGCGGGCGGCGCCCGACGCGGCCCGGAGCCCGGCGGGCAGTCGGGCCGCTCGCCGCCCCCAAACCCCCGCCCCTGCCGGCCTCACACCTGCGTCTCCTTCCAGGGGCCTGACGTGCCAGCCCACAATCCTTTGCCCACCAGAAGCTCCCGGGGTTTTAAAACAAAGAAACGCACCTAGAACCCATTTCGTGTGTGCGGCTCGGCTTTGCCGTGTGGCGGGGTAGGTGTGCGGGGAGACCCAATCTCCACTGCCTGCTCTGCGACCACCGCCTGAGCTACCCCGGGTCACAGTCGCCCGGGCGAATCCAGGTCAGACGAGGGTTTCAAGCCCCTGGCGACTCCGACATTTTGTGGGGTCCCTCGGCTCAGTTCAGTTCAGTCGCTCAGTCGTGTCCAACTCTTTGCGACCCCATGAACCGCAGCACACCAGGCCTCCCTGTCTATCAGCAACTCCCGAAGTCCACCCAAACCCATGTCCATTGAGTCGGTGATGCCATCCAACCATCTCATCCTCTGTCGTCCCCTTCTCCTCCTGCCCCCAATCCCTCCCAGCATCAGGGTCTTTTCAAATGAGTCAACTCTTCCCATCAGGTGGCCAAACTATTGGCTTCAACATCAGTCCTTCCAATGAACACCCAGGACTGATCTCCTTTAGGATGGACTGGTTGGATCTCCTTGTAGTCCAAGGGACTCTCAAGAGTCTTCTCCAACACCACAGTTCAAAAGCATCAATTCTTCTGTGCTCAGCTTTCTTTATAGTCCAACTCTCACATCCATACATGACCACTGGAAAAAACTTAGCCTGGACTAGTAGGACCTTTGTTGACAAAGTAATGTCTGCTTTTTAATATGCTCTCTAGGTTGGTCATAACTTTCCTTCCAAGGAGTAAGTGTCTTTTAATTTCATGGCTGCAATCACCATCTGCAGTGATTTTGGAGCCCAGAAAAATAAAGTCAGCCACTGTTTCCACTGTTTCTCCATCTATTTGCCATGAAGTGATGGGACCAGATGCCATGATCTTAGTTTTCTGAATGTTGAACTTTAAGCCAACGTTTTCACTCTCCTCTTTCACTTTCATCAAGAGGCTCTTTAGTTCTTCACTTTCTGCCGTAAGAGTGGTGTCATTTGCATATCTGAGGTTATTGACATTTTTCCAGGCAATCTTGATTCCAACTTGTGCTTCCTCCAGCCCAGCGTTTCTCATGATGTACTCTGCATATAAGTTAAATAAGCAGGGTGACAAAATACAGCCTTGACGTACTCCCTTTCCTATTTGGAACCAGTCTGTTATTCTATGTCCAGTTATAACTGTTGCTTCCTGACCTGCATACAGATTTCTCAAGAGGCAGGTCAGGTGGTCTGGTATTCCCATCTCTTTCAGAATTTTCCACAATTTATTGTGATCAAACACAGTCAAAGGCTTTGGCATAGTCAATAAAGCAGAAATAGATGTTTTTCTGGAACTCTCTTGCTTTTTCGATGATCCAACGGATTTGATCTCTGGTTCCTCTGCCTTTTCTAAAACCAGCTTGAACATCTGGAAGTTCTCGGTTCACATATTGCTGAAGCCTGGCTTGGAGAATTTTAAGCATTACTTTATGAGCGTGTGAGATGAGTGCAATTGTGCGGTAGTTTGAGCATTCTTTGGCATTGCCTTTCTTTGGGATGGAATGAAAACTGACCTTTTCCAGTTCTGTGGTCACTGCTGAGTTTTCCAAATCTGCTGGCATATTGAGTGCAGCACCTTCACAGCATCATCTTTTAGGATTTGAAATAGCTCAACTGGAATTCTATCACCTCCACTAGCTTTGTTCCTAGTGATGCTTCCTAAGGCCCACTTGACTTCACATTCCAGGATGTCTGGCTCTAGGTGAGTAATCACACCATTGTGATTATTTGGCTCATGAAGATCTTTTTTGTACAGTTCTTCTGGGTATTCTTGCCACCTCTTCTTAATATCTTCTGCTTCTGTTAGGTCCCTACCATTTCTGTCCTTTACTGAGCCCATCTTTGCATAAAACGTTCTCTTGGTATCTCTAATTTTCTTGAAGAGATCTCTAGTCTTTCTCAGTCTGTTGTTTTCCTCTATTTCTTTGCATTGATTGCTGAGGAAGGCTTTCTTATCTCTCCTTGCTATTCTTTGGAACTCTGCATTCAAATGGGTATATCTTTCCTTTTCCCCTTTGCTTTTCGCTTCCCTTCTTTTCACAGCTATTTGTAAGGCCTCCT